ATAGATAGATAGATAGATAGATAGATAGATAGATAGATAGATAGATACAGTAGATAGATACGGTAGATTGATAGATATGATAGATTGATAGATACAGTAGGTAGGTAGAAAGAAAGAAAAATAGAAAGAAAGAAAGAAAGATACAGTAGAAAGATACGGTAGATAGACGGACAAATAAATAAACAGGGATGGAAACATGTATTCAGGCAATGCGCAAGCCCATGGCACTGTTGAACTGATGGGAAAGTTTTTTGGTTCCCTGTGGTGGAACATTTGATCCTGCAAATTCCCCAATTGGATTCCGATGGACGGGAAGTTCTTCTGAGCCGGGCTTTGTCCAGCTCCGATCAATGCTCCTTTTGTAAGAGGCGTCTTTGAGACAGGCCGGTCTGCAAGGCAGGCTTGACGTCATCCCAAGTTTGTGGGTGGAACGGGCCTCATTCTCTCAAAGGCAGGAAATTTGAGGTCCAGCCCTAGGATTCTTCTGTTCCACACCAAACTCTTTCAATTTGACTTTAATTAAATTAGTTTCACTTCGGCGTACGAGGTGCAATGACAACAGAGTCAACTAAACTAAAAACTCCCTTGGCGTGTAAATGGTTCCGTCCGATATTCCCTCATGTTTCTCTTCAATAACTTGTTTTGTTTTGTTCTTCCTCTGCAGGCAACAAGATTTATTCCGGGTCCTGAAAGCCTACACTCTCTATCGGCCGGAGGAAGGGTATTGCCAGGCCCAGGCTCCCATTGCCGCTGTGCTGCTGATGCACATGCCCGCCGAGGTGCGCTAGAATTCCTCTTACGGACGCTCCGTTCCGTATCTTCTCCCTCTGGAGGTGGCCGTCTCCTTCCTCTCCCTCTCCGGAAGCTGCTTCCTCTGGCTCGGCTACTCTGTAGTCTACATATCCAGTAGTCATTCTCTCCATTGAGAGTAAAAATAGCCAGGACTGGATTTCCTGCTGAGAAATAAAAGTTGGTGGAATGGGTCTCCTTCTTGAGCAAGGGGTTGGACTAGAAGACCTCCAAGGTTCCTTCCAACTCTACTGTGCTGTCATCTCCCCTCCCCTCCTTTCCCCTCCCCTCTCTTTCTTCCTTCCTCCTCTCCTCTCTTTCCTTCCTCCTCCTCTCCTCTTTCCTTCCTCCTCTCCTCTCCTCTTTCTCTTTCCGTCCTCTCCTCTCCTTCTTCTTTCTCCTCTCCTTTCCTCTCCTCTCCTTCCTCCTCCTCTCCTCTCTTCTCTTTCCTTCCTCTCTCCTCTCCTTTCTTCTTTCCCTCCTCCTCTCCTTCCTTCCTCCTCCTCTCCTCTCTTCTCTTTCCTTCCTCCTCTCCTTTCCTCTTTCCCTCCTCCTCTCCTCTCTTTCCTTCCTCCTCTCCTTTCCTCTTTCCTTCATCCTCTCTTTTCTTCTCCTTTCTTTCCTTCCTCCTCTCCTCTGCTTTCCTCTTTCCCTCCTCCTCTCCTCTCTTTCCTTCCTCCTCCTCTCCTCTCCTCTCCTTTCCTCTTTCCTTTCTTCTCTCCTTTCTTTCCTTCCTTCCTCCTCTCTTCTCCTTCCTCCTCTCCTCTTTCCTTCTCCTCTCCCCTTCTCTCTTTCCTTCCTTCCTCTCCTCTCTCCTCTCCTTTCCTCTTTCCTTCTTCCTCCTCTCCTCCCTTCTCTTTCCTTCCTCCTCTCCTTTCCTCTTTCCTTCCTCCTTTCTTCGCCTCTCTTTCCTTCCTCCTCTGTTCTCTTTCCTTCCTCCTCTCTTCTCCTCTCCTCTACCCTATCCACAGTAGTCCTCAATTTAGAACCACAGCTGAGCCCAACATTTACACTGTTAAGTGAAGTTAGATTTACCAGTTAGTTGAAGTCCACACATCTTCAAGTTTGTCAAGTTTGAGAATCACTCTCTTTCCTCTCCCCTTCCTCAGGACAAACTTAACTATGTTGGGCTAATAATATTTTCTTGTCTCTCTCTCTCTTTCTCTCTCTCTCTTTTCAGCAAGCTTTCTGGTGTCTTGTGCAAATATGTGAGAAATATCTTCCTGGCTACTACAGCGAGAAGCTGGTGAGTGTTTCCTTTAGATCAGGGGTCTCCCATCTTGGCAGCTTTTAGACTTGTGGACTTCAACTCCCAGAATTCCCTACCAGCAAAGTCCACCAGTCTTAAAAGTTGCCAAGTTGGGAGACCCCTGCCTTAAATCCTGATGGAGGTCTGCTGGTTTCAGGAGAGCGAGGAAACAGTGCAGCCCGAAGGAAGGAGGAACGGGTTGTGTCAGACCTGCCCCAACTTGGTCCCATAGCAAAGGAAGACCCTCGACTCCCATTTGTAGTGAAAGGTATACTTTTACTAAAAGCCAAGTGAATTACAGTATAGCAAAGCCTGAACTGAAGTTCGCGCGCCAAAATTGTCCGGTTAACTTTTCCCGTCCAGTTCCTCTCCTCCCCTGGCTCCGTATTGTCCAATGATATTTGAGCAATCAATAAAAGAGAATATTTGTAGCTCGGGGTTGAAATGAGGGGGTCCTTGGTGCTCTCTGAGCTTGCTTGTTTTCTTGCAGATGTTTCAACATCATTAGTGCTAGAAGGGAATGCAGAATGCAGAAAGGAAAGAGAAGGGAAAGAAGAAGTATAGGAGGAAGAGGAAAAAGAGGGGAAGGAGAATTGTTGGGGCCTTAGTGCCCTCTGAGCTTGCTTGTTGTTTTGCAGACGTTTCATTACCCTAAATAGGTAACGTCATCAGGGCTAGTACTATATTTGAGCAAACTGTTTTTGCAACGGCCTTGCTTTCTTCTCCCAAGTTTGCGACCTTGAGGCCTTGCCTCTTCCCATCAACTTCATTAGTTTCGCTTTCCCCTCCGATCCGGCTCCCTCCCTCCCACCCATAGTTCATGGCAGACTGACAGCTAGCGAATGCGGACCAGCGGCCGAGAGACAGCCAGCCCTCCTGCTCAGCCTGATTCAAGATCTCCTCCCTCTCTCTCTCTCTCTCTCCTTCCCCGCAGGAGGCCATCCAGTTGGATGGCGAGATTCTCTTCTCTCTGCTGCAGAGAGTCTCTCCGCTGGCTTACAAGCATCTCAGCAAGCAGAAGATCGACCCCATCTTGTACATGACGGAGTGGTTCATGTGTGCCTTCTCCAGGACCCTGCCCTGGAGTTCTGTGCTGAGGGTCTGGGATATGTTCTTCTGCGAAGGTACTGGTGGTATCTCTTCTGGTCTTGGTGGTGGTGGTGGGGTGAGTGGGGTATGCATGCCGGCCACATTTGGGAGATACCTCTGGAGGAGGTTGCTTCTCGCCATTCCACACTGGAGTCATGACATCTGGAAGGCCATAATGAAACTAACTATTGTGGCTTGTCGGCCACCGGCGCCTCCAGCAGCCGACTCAGAGGAGGAGGAGGAGGTGTGGGAGTCAGGGGAAACTGCTTCGTTTCCTTCTGGTTGTTGTTTGCTTCCAGAGCGGTTGGGTGGACAAGCCGAGAGGTAGCAACAAGGCCACCTGAGGGCTCCAAGGGGGAAGAGGGAATGGAGCTGTCAGAGATAGAGACAGGGGCAAAGCCTGGACCGTCCATCAGCCCTCAGATGGAGAGTCAACAGCCCCCAGGTCTGGAGGTGGCTGATGAGGAGGAGGAGGAACAGCTGGGTCCAGTGCCTGATGCAAGGATGCACAGAAGGCGGAGGAGAGGAGAGCAGTGGAAATCAATGGGCCGGTTCTTGGGACGGAAGAGCCACCGCTACTCCTTCCCCTCTCCCTTGTTTCCCTTTTCAGTTCAATCTAAAGTGGCATTCGAGCAGCCCCAATTTTCTAATTATCTTTATTCTCATTTCAATTTCTTATTCAATTATTATTTATTTTTATTTCATCATTTGCGTACGTAAAAAATGCTTAAAAAAAGTTTTTAAAATGGTTCCCACGGTCGCGTGGCACAGCTGATCACCTCCTCACCTCCCCCGCGCTGTTTTACTTAACCTTCCCAAGCCTCCGTTTGGTGCGCGGCATGTATGCGCAGCCAGCGAACTGGTAGTAAGCCGGTTCAGATTTCACCACTGAGCCAAGGTGTCTCCTCTGCCAATCCTCCCCTCCATGAGTTCTTCAGTTGCTGTCCTGGGTGCCCAGACAGATTCCGGTGAGTTGTGACTCTGCCCTTCTTTACTGGCAGTGCCGTGATTTTCTGTCTCTGCCCTGTGGCTTTTCCCTCTGCCCAGCCGGTCAGGCAGACGCATAAATCCCCGGGAGCTGCAAATCTAGGTCAGCAAAGCATTGATGATGCTCTGGGGCTCCAACTTGAGCAAGCAAGCAAGCATCAGGTTCTGGGGCAGCGGCTTCATGTCGCGAGGCTGCCCCCCGGTGACTGGCGTTGTAGTTGCAGTTTTTAAACAGAATAACCAGAGTTGGAAGGGATCTTGGACGTCTCCTAGGTCCAAAGTTCTTGGTTACAAGAGAAAGAGCAGGGGTGAAATCCAGCAGGTTCTGACAGGTTCTGGAGAACCGGTAGCGGACATTTTGAGCAGTTCGGAGAACCGGCAGATACCACCTCTGGCTGGCCCCAGAGTGGGGAGGGAATGGAGATTTTGCAATTTTTGCAAAATTACGGGTTTTTGCAATCCGTAAACCTAATTCCCTATTCATCCACAACGTATCAATTCTGGACCAAGATGCATGAGGATTAGAGCAAAAGGTATATTTATTTTCTTTTGGATGTAGAGTTCTCCACATGTCTCTTAAATTTAGTTCGTCTTATCCTATTAAAAAGTGATTTGGGTAGTATATTTCCTTTTCTTGTTATCTTTATCACTGGCGTAGTCTTCTTTGATATCCGCTGTCCCATTATAGCCCCCCACATTACAAATATTCCTACAGCCTCTGTCGTAATTATCTTTTCATGTCATTTCGTCAAGGCGTCAAGATCATCTTCCGAGTGGGCCTGGTCCTCCTGAAATACACTCTGGGTTCCTCGGAGAAGCTGAGATCCTGCCAAGGGCAGTACGAGACGATGGAGCAGCTGAGAGCCCTGAACCCCAAAATCATGCAGGAGACTTTCCTGGTGCAAGAGGTAAAACCGGTTCAGCTGGAGGCCACTCCGCTGTAGGCAGGCAGACGCCAGGGGCAAACAGCCAGGAGCTGGGATAAGGGTATATACATATATACATATATACCCTGTTTCCCTGAAAACCCTAACCTATTCTTTTGTTCCTCCTAGGTCATAGAGTTGCCAGTGACGGAGCGCCACATCGAGCGGGAACACCTGATCCAGCTGAAGAAGTGGAAGGAGACCCACGGAGAGCTGCAATGCAAGTCCCCTCCCCGTTTTCACGGCGCCAAGGCTATCAGGGACTCTGAGCCGTACCCCCACAGAGCCTTGGAGCCCTCTCCTTCCATCATCCTGCCCCCCGGTGCCGCCCTCTCCCCCAAGGGCCGCAAGAGCAAGTCGCGGAAGGGCGCCCCCAAAGGGCTGGTAACCACGGGCAACCGAGCCAACGGCCCTATCCCCGAAGAAAACGGATCTTTGCTGGAGCCCGACTCTTCCCTTCTCTGCCAGTCCAAGGAGAGCCTTAGTTCCCGGGAGAGCGAGGACACCTACCTGTAGGGGCGGGGATTGCACTTTCCAGATCTCTCTCACATACACACACACACACCCCTCCCTCTCCCAGGCCAACACAGACCAGACTGTTACCAGTGAGACACCCTTGATAGGAAAATTTGCAGCTGGGTTTGTAAGGAGGAGAGAGCGATTTGTCGGAGGGCAGGTGGGTAAGTATTAGGCCTTCTGATGGCCGAAAGAAGGAATTCCGTATATCTGGTTGGAAAGGGCTAGTGCCTCTCCTGCCCCCTGCTCTGGTGGAGGGGAGACATTCTGGAGGCTGAGAGGCACTGAGGTGTCCCCCTCCCTTTGATTCGGGGGGAAAAAGTTCGATTGGCCGCAATCACACAGGTATAGAAACATAGGAAAGGGATGCGGCTACCCACAAACCGCTAAATTACAGGCACGGGTTGGCTCAGCCCCACGTTTTCTGATAGGAGTAAAATGGAGGTCGTCCCCTTAAACTCTGACCCTGCCCTCCTCTCCCTCGGTGGGCCGAAGGGCAAATGTCGGTCCCAGGAGGGGCTGTGTCCCATCTTCCATGCGTGCAAATTGCCTTCGCTCTCGAGTCTTACCACCCTCTCCCCCGAGGGCCGCAAGAGCAAGTCGCGGAAGGGTGCCCCCAAAGGGCCGGTAACCATTGGCAACCAAGCCAACGGCCCAACTCTTCCCTTCTCCATCAGTCCAAGGAGAGCCTTAGTTCCCGGGAGAGCGAGGACATCTACCTGTAGGAGTGGGAATTGCACTTTCCAGATCTCTCACGCACACACCCTTCCCTCTCCCAGGCCACACAGACCAGACTGTACCAGTGAGACACCCTTGTTCGGAGAAGTTGCTCGGCTTCTCTCTCGGATGCTACTATCCCTCTCTCTCTCTCTCTCTTTCTCGGCCCCTCTCTAGCGACCTCCATAAGCCCGACAACCGGCTCTTGTCTCCACCAAACCAAGTGATGGGAGCTGTAGTCCATCTGGAGCTTCCCAGCGAAAGGGTTCTCCAGACGGGACAATCATCTTGGCGCCCCGATTAGGGAGGGGGGGCTCTTTAAGTTGAGCGGACGGTGTTAGGCGGGGACCCTAACTCCCTGCGTTCTGTCTCATTGCGCAGGAAGAATTTGACTTGGCTGTTCTGTTCTTCCTCCCACCTGCGCGGCCCACCGTCGGCCACTTCCGCTAAGCAAGAGACGGCATATCCAAGACACGAATGCTTCTCCTCGGGGGGGCCGCTAAAAGCCAGCGCGCTAAAAGGAAATCCTTTCCTGCTTAGCTTTGCTGTCTTTGTCTCGTGACCAAATTCCCACATATGCTGTACGGACCAGAAATGCTGATTTTCCCCGGTTCTGGACCAGAAGGAATGCTGGCCGATAAAATCCGATATTTGTATACGATTTTTGCAAGCGGTTTCGGATGCCAGTCTTCTCCTCTTGCATTCCAGCGCTGTGATTTTTTTCTCTTTTAAAAAAACACTCCGTTTTCCAGGACACTAAAAATCCCCCTTTATTATTATTGTTAATATTTTTGTCCCACCTGTCTTCAGCCAAGTTGACTCTCGTTTTGTTGTTCCCGGGCCACGTCCCGCCAAGTTAAAACTGAGTTGCTCGGAACAGCCTAACCTCTATCTCCCATCTCTCCAGGATGTTAAGGCACCTCCGTAAAATGATGGATTCAGACGTGGAAAATACTAATGTCTGGGTTTTTTTTTTTAGCTTGTTGCTATCTGGCTTTCCGTCTTCTGTATTCACCCAGGCGACAGCAAACACAGATTTAATTTTTGCGGGAAGCAAAGTCGGGGTGACGGGAGCTTCTGTGGTTTATTAAGGAGGTGCAGGAAAATGTTTCCTTCCCCGCCCCCAACTGCCCTCTCCCCTTTTGTGGCATAAACTTGGTTTGTTGGGGGGGACACTTTAAAAAATTCTTGGCGGAAATAAAAGTGTATATTTGGGGAAAAGCGAGGAACACGGATGCTACTCTCTGTTTCCTTCTCCTGCACCGGATTACGGCTGATGAGTGGGGATTCATGTATGTGGATTATTATTATTTTTTTTAAATCAGTTGCTGAAACTGTTTTGTACAAGAGGCGAAATAAACCGGAATTATGTCAATTTTGTGTTCGATTTGAATTGGGATGCTTGAAGGGGGGGGGAAAGGGGTGTCAGTTTTGGGGAGACCCAAATGAGAAAGGATCCGATTTTTCTAATTGAATAGAATAGAATTCTTTCTTGGCCAAGTGTGATTAGATAGACAAGGGATTTATCTTTGGTGCATAGGCTCTCGGTGTACATAAAAAGACAAGATGCATTCGTCAAGAATCATAAGGCGCAACGCTTAATGATAGTCACAGGGTACAAATAAGCAATCGAATCATACTAGGAAACAATATAAATCGTAAGAATATAAGCAACAAGTTACAGTCATAAGTGGGAGGAGATGGGTGATAGGAACGATGAGAAGATTAATAGTAATAGTAATGCATAGGGGGCTCCATCCCTGTTAAGAAATTGGACAGCAGAGTCTCCTGCTTGAGACGGGGTTGGACTAGAAGACCTCCCAGGTCCCTTCCAGCTCTGTTCTGATTCTGGGCTGGTTCAGTTTCTCTCCCCCCTGCTCCCTTAAATTGCCACAACCGAGTTTAAGATTTCGTGTTATTGCTTTGACTCAGATTAGCTGTTATGCCCTTTATGGGGAGGGGAAAAAAAAAAAGATATGGTTGATTTTAGCATGCCGTGCCAGTTGGCGCCATTCTCTCGACCCTATTTTCTTAGCAAGGTCAGTGATCAAGATTGTCTCTGCGTGCAGCCTTGGCGTTATCTTCCCCCTCCCTTGCTTGTCCGTAGCCTTCAGCCCAAAAGAATCCCTGAGTTTGATTTTATAGCCCATCTTTCCACCGTTAGGAAACTTCACTCTGCCCTTGGTTCCTTCTTCTGGCATTGCAATCTCTCAGTTCCTGGGCTGTGTTTTGCAGCTGGTTGGCACAGTGCCACGGGTCAGAGGGCCACTTCGAAGATAAAGAACGCTGTTGAGATTTGGGGCATGTCTGTTTGTCGGTCTCCGCAAGGATCCGAACGCGATCAAGGTTTTGATTTTCGGCCAGAGACTCAAGGACAAAACTGAAAACGTTTGCTGAAAGCAATCACAGACATAAATTTCCCGGTGTTTTCCACCCAGGGACTGGGAAAGTTTGGGGGTTGTAGTCCAAACTTCTGCCCCATGGGCTTTGAGGTGTGTCTCAGGAAAAGTTCCTGGTTAGTTGTCTAAAATATGAATCGTGGAACTGTAATATTTGTTGTTGTTATTGTTATTGTTGGTTTGAGACATTTCTCCTGCCCATCCAAGTCGCTTCATCGGTCAGAGAAAGTTACAAGTTAAGTTAGGCAGATCCAAAGGTGTTTTCTTTTTCCCAAAAGGCACCTGGATTTTGTTTTTCCTTGAAGACGTTTCGCTTCTCATCCAAGAAGCTTCTTCGGTTCTGACTGAATGGTGGTGGATGGAAGGATTTATACTCTGGTCGTTAGCACTCTCTCTGAGAGTCGTTGAAGCCACTTGGAGGTTTACCTGTGCGCTCAGGGTCACCTGAATAGTGCCAATGGGTGTGGAGCCTTCTTGGAACTGTTGAAAGGACTGTGTTGTAAACAGGAGAGAGGTCGTATCCCTCCGCCTCTGTTGAGAGACGACTGTTCAGTTTTAATGTAGATGGCCTCTTTGACCCTTCTTTCAAACCAGTGTCCATCTCTGTCCAAAATGTGGACTTTGCTGTCTTCCAAAGAGTGATCTTTGTCTTTCAAAGGCAGATGGGCTGCTGAATCTTGTCCTGGATGAGTTTTTTCTCCTATGTTGCGCCATGTGTTTGTGAAGTGGTTGTTTTGTTTCTCCAATGCACAGATCTATACATGCCTTCCTGCTTTGTACTGTCTTCAAGGAAAAACAAAATGGTTGCCTTTTGATAAAGCACCTTTGGGGCAAAAACCATGACTTGGATGGACTGAGAATCTCTATAGACATTTAGCCAAAACAGTTTGTTCTACTCTAGACTCTTGGAGTATCACTACAATCCCCTCTTTTTTTTTTTTTTTGCCAGGGCTGGCTGGGAATAATGGGATTTGAAATCCATAAATATGAAGCAACCTACAGTCGGGAGGGCTACAGGAGCTGAGATGTTGTGTTGACTTTGATGAGGGTGATTAGAAAGCAGAGCGAGTTAATCATAGAAGGAGAAGAGTTACTATGGATCAAAGAAGCAATAAGTAACTCATCTTGGTTTAACCTCCTACTTGAGGTTATTAATAATGGTTAGGGATTAGGGGAAAGGATGCATCTACCTTCGGGAAAGTGCTTTCAAAGGAGACTCCGTTTTTTCATAGAAAAGCCATCGTCCTGCAGATGAAGATCAGAAAGGTACAACTGAAATCCTACCAGATCAATCCAGGATGCCGTGGAGACCCATTTCCTGTTTCCAAGAGTGGAAAACCCACCAGAATCCCACCCACACCTTCCTTTTCTAGAAAGCTTCCTTGATGATAATGCAGGTGTCTGGATTTTTTAGTTACTGTCAGACAAATGTTTAAATTTCAAGAGCTGCCTAGCCAGTAGATATAACAGTAACAGGCTATAACAGAATAACAGAGTTGGAAGGGACCTTGGAGGTCTTCTAGTCCTACCCCCTGCTTAGACAGAAAGTCCTACACCACTTCAGACAAATGGTTGTCCAACCTCTTTCTAAAAACTTCCAATGTTGGAGCATTCACAACTTCTGGAGGCAAGTTGTTCCACTGATTGTTCTCACTGTCAGGAAATTCCTCCTTAGTTCTAAGTTGCTTCTCTCCTTGATTAGTTTCCACCCGTTGCTTCTTGTCCTGCCTTCGGGGGCTTTGGAGAATAGCTTGACTCCCTCTTCTTTGGGGCAGCCCCTGAGATATCGGAAGACTGCTATCATGTCTCCCCTGGTCCTTCTTTTCATTAAACTAGACATTCCCAGTTCCTGCAACCGTTCATCCTATGTTTTAGCCTCCAGTCCCCTAATCCTCTTTGTTGCTCTTCTCTGCACTCTTTCCAGAGACTCTGATGTTTAGTTGGTTGTTGAAACACTGTATTAGATTGAAATGGAGTTAGGTAGCTAGCTAGCTGTCGCCTGAATCAATCCAACTCCTGGTTAGCTAGGGATGGTAACCCACAGATTTAACTGAGGTTGGAGGTTTAACACATCGTGGGAATGCAATCTTTCGAAAGACAGATTTCCGCTGCTGTTTTCCTTTCCCATCGGACTCGAAGATAAAACTGTTCCAGCTCTTCTTAGGAAAACTTTTGAGGAATACCTTGAGCCCAAAATTTACACTGCTAAAGCGAGACGGTTATTAAGTGAGTTTTGCCTCATTTTACAACCTTTCTTGCCACCGTTAGGTGAATCATTGAAGTTGTTAAGTTAGTAACGTGGTGGTTAAGTGGAATTTGACATCCCCGTTGACTTGGCTTGTCGCAAAAGGGAATCGTGTGACCCCTGGGACTTTGCATAAATAACGGAACTCATTGCTAAGCGTCTGAATTTTGATAGGGTTGCTGCAACGGTCGTAACTATGAAACACGGTCATGAGTCACCTTTTCAGCGCCGTTGTAACTTCGAACGGTCCCTAAACAAATGGCTGTATGTCGAGAACTACCTCTGGTTTGGCATAATGTGGGAAGTGAGGCAAGTGAGAAAGATCTTGGTTTATCTATGGCTTAGCTCGGCCATTTTGCTCAGCCTTGCGTGACCCCCGAGAAGAGATTCACATAGTAAATATGCCAATAGAAAGTTTTTTTAAAAAAAACAAAAATCAATGTATAGTTGATCAAACTATAACAAGAGAGAATGTCTTCCCCGACAGTCCTATTGAGGTTAATCATTGGAAGGCCGGGGATGAAATTCTAGCAAAATATTTTCTAGCACCACCGGTGTTGATTAACCTGCAAATGGCTCGTTTTTTTCCTGAGTTGAGAATTTATTTACATTCCTAGGAATGGATGTGGATGCAGGTAGGCCTCGACTTAATGGCCGCGATGGAGGCCAGCATTTCTGTTGCTAAATGAGACAGTTAAGTGAATTCGTGCCTTATTTTACGAGCTTTCTGGCCATAGTTGTTAACTGAATCACAAGATAGTGACACAGTCGCAGAGATAATATTCAGCCGGTAGCGGAAATCACGGGTGAGCCTGCCCACCTGCCCCGGATCTATGCCGTCCTATTTAGGCAAAATTTTGTCCCAGCTTCTGCCAACCTAGCAGTTTGAAAGCACATAAAGAAAATGCAAGTAGAAAAATAGGGACCCCCTTTGGTGGGAAGGAAACAGCGTTCCGTGCGCCTTTGGCGTTGAGTCATGCCGGCCACATGACCACGGAGACGTCTTCGGACAGCGCTGGCTCTTCAGCTTTGAAACGGAGATGAGCACCTGCCCCCTAGAGTCAGGAACGACTAGCACCTATGTGCGAGGGGAACCTTTTACCTTAATAGTATAATATTAATATATGTTACTTTTGGTGAGAGAACTGATTTAAAAAAAAAAAATCTGGCAAGAAGCTCATACAATTGCTTCTTCCAATTTGCCCAAAGGTTTTAAGTAGATTTCTTTTTTCTTTTCTTTTCTTTTCTTTTCTTTTTTCTTTTCTTTTCTTTTCTTTTTTTCTTTTCTTCTCTTCTCTTCTCTCCTTTCCTTTCCTTTCTTTTCTTTTTTTAAAAAAGGAATTTCAAGAACACAGCTTGTTTTTTCTGATAAAAAAAAAAGGAGAAATGGTATTTTCCATCCCGGGTTCTAAAATGACAAACAGGCTTTCGTTGCCATCCTAAATAATGCGGTTTGGTAGAAACGTGGAAACAGGAAGGTTGAAATGAACTCCTTAAGGGACAAAGTCTCCCCCATAATATCAGAGTTAAATCTGCTTGGAAAGTCCTTTGCGTCTCCCTTCCTCTCTAAAACTCTCAGCAACCAAGATGGACAACAAACGTAATTTTCCTCAAATTTTGCAATTCTCCCAAAGATAAATTCAGCATCTTTCTAATCAAAAATAGACAAAACTTATCCTATTATCCTATTTCTCAACTGGTCACTTTAAGAGAGGTGGACTTCTGCTCCCAGAATTCCCCAGGCCTGGGGAATTCTGGGAGCGGAGGTCCCCCTCTCTTAAAGGCCCAGGGATTCTGGGAGTGGAAGTCCGCCTCTCTTAAAGGCCCAGGGATTCTGGGAGTGGAAGTCCGCCTCTCTTAAAGGCTTGGGGAATTCTGGGAGTGGAAGTCCACCTCTCTTAAAGGCTTGGGGAATTCTGGGAGTGGAAGTCCACCTCTCCTAAAGGCCTGGGGAATTCTGGGAGCGGAAGTCCACCTCTCTTAAAGGCCCAGGGAATTCTGGAAGTGGAAGTCCACCTCTCCTAAAGGCCTGGGGAATTCTGGGAGCGGAAGTCCCCCTCTCTTAAAGGCCCAGGGATTCTGGGAGTGGAAGTCCGCCTCTCCTAAAGGCCCAGGGATTCTGGGAATGGAAGTCCGCCTCTCCTAAAGGCCTGGGGAATTCTGGGAGCGGAAGTCCACCTCTCTTAAAGGCCCAGGGAATTCTGGGAGCAGAAGTCCACCTCTCTTAAAGGCCCAGGGAATTCTGGGAATTGAAGTCCACCTCCTAAAGGCCCAGAGAATTCTGGGAGCGGACGTCCATCTCTCTTAAAGGCCTGGAGAATTCTGGGAGTGGAAGTCCTCTCTTACAGTGGCTCAAATTGAGAAATACTGGCCTAAGGTCTAAATTGGCTGGAATTTAGACTCCATTCAACGAGTGGCTTTCTTTTTTAGCCATTTCCCAATTGCAGCAACCTGTAATTTTCCACAAAATCTGCTGAAATTTTCCACTGTCGGGCTGTGGAAATGAGACAACTCCTCTTGTAAGTTTACGAGCCTGACAGAATAATTCTGAGACAGACATCCTGAGCTGTGTGGGTGACAGACTGATTTTGAGGTGGTTTTTTTTTTTCAGAAAAGAATTTAATAGAGGTAGTCCTTGACTTATGACTGCAACTGAGCTCAAGATTTGCATTGCTAAGTGAGGTAGTTGTTAAAATGACTTGCACCTCGTTTTATGACCCTCTTTGGCCACAGTTGTTAAGCGAATCTTGCAGTCATTAAATGAGTCTCTTCCCTCATTCCTTAAAACTTTCCTTTTTCAACAAGCCGGGCTGGCCTAACAAATCCTTTTAAATGATTTTAAATTCGTTTGTCTTTTTAAATTTTGGGCCAAATTGAGATATTTTCTTTTAATCTGTTTCTTAATCTATGTATTATGTATTATGTGTTTATGTGTTTTTACTTGGCTGTACACCACCCTGAGTCCCTAGGGAGAAGGGCGGTATATAAATTTGAAGTAAAATAAATAAATAAAATAAAATAAATATATCCCTACCTATATGACCTAACGGCCCCGCGTGACCTTGAAAATGTGCAGGCTGTTTTGGATGCAGGTAAGTGCAAGGCGTGTGCGGAGGCTCGGGGACGGCGAAAAACAGGCCTACCGGAACTTCAGGAAGGCTGGAAACGGGCCCGTTTCCAGCTTGAGCCTGGGGAGGCCATTTTCGCCCTCCAGGAGGCTTGAGAAAAGCCTCCGGAGCCTGGGGAGGGCAAAAAAAGCCAACTAGGCCACGCCCACCATGGCCACTCCCACCCAGCAACCAGGCAGAGAACCCCTTGCTAAAAAATTTTGAAGCCCACCCCTGGAAATGGGTTGTGAGAAAGGCAGTCCAATTTTCCACAGGTTTACGTCACTGATCTCTTCCGTTTCCAAACCCTGCAGAACCTGGGAAGGTGTGAACTCTGCTGTAGACACCCGCTCTCAAATTAATTTACTTATTATTATTTTTTTTTCGGTTTGGAAGAGTTTTCAACTGTCTCTACTCCAATTCTTGTGATCCTCCCATTTGCCGTGGAAAAAAATTTAACGGACGTGTGCTTTTTTCACCCACCTCACGTCAGTTCTGAAATTGGGCGCATTGCCGCCCTTCCAACGGCTGTTTGGGATTTGAAGCGGTTTGCAAAAGACTCCAGGGAAGAAAACACCTTCGTGGGGCTGGGTTACCTTTATTTCTTAAACCAGAATGTCGCTTTTACTTGGTTTTGATTTAACGGGTGACATTAATCCAGCCTCTCGGCGTTTCTAATCCGCGGTTTAGTGGACCGTACGTGATTTTCATTTTTTTTCATTTTCATTTTATTAAATTTGTATACCGCCCTACTCCCGAAGGACTCAGGGCGGTGAACGGCCATAAAATAAAACATGTAGATGCAAAACTTAAAATAGAGATAAAACAAATTAAATAAATTTGGCTGAACCATTTTAAAACCCCAATAATTTAAAACCCAATTAAAATTCCCCTTTAAAAAGAGGAAAAGTTTAGGTCCGGCCAGCTTGCTGAAATAGGAACCGTCTTAAGCGCTCGACTAATAAAACAACTGGACGCTTATGCAAGCATGCAGAATCCAGAATAACAAAGAGTTGGAAGGGACCTTGGAGGTCATCTAGTCCAGGGGTCGGCAACCTTAAACACTCAAAGAGCCACAAAGGCCCTAACCGGAAGCCCCCGTTCAATTCTGGAACCGACCGGAAGTCCAGCTCCCCCAACCATAGAGTCTCCTCCTAGAGCGGTGTGTCCTTTTTCCTCTACCTGTCCTAACCGAAAGCCCTATCAATTGTGGAGCCGACTAGCAACGGAGCCGCAGCAGAGGGATGCAAGAGCCACATGCGGCTCCAGAGCCGCAGGTTGCTGACCCCTGATCTAATCCAACCCCCTGCTCAAGTAGGAGACCTTGTTACCGTTTCCGACAAAAGGTTATCCAATCTCCCCTTTAAAAACCTCCAGTATTGGAGCACCCACGACTTCTGGAGGCATGAGGGAATTGCAGACCTCAATTCACCAAACCAAGGAATTCTGATCCTTGTGTCCTCGTAGCTGTGGCAGGAACATTCGCTGTGGGCACTGAGAGGGCCCGTTGCAACTCGAATCAGCCTGTTTTTTTCTTGTCTTATTATCTGCATTTTTCCATCAAAGGCTGGGAGACAAAAAGAATAATAATAATAATAATCCCGGAAGGAAACTTGCAGAGGGAGCAGGGGGAAAACGTTAGAAACGCCTCAAGTTGAAGGTGTGTAGATGAGCAAAATATGGGCACGGCACTGAGGATGGGGAGGGAGGGAGATAAAGAGATAAAGAGAAAGATAAGACAGGAAGGAGGGAGGAAGAAGGAAGGATTAAGAGAAAGACAGGATAAAAATGGAAAGAGATAAAGAGAAATATAAGATGGATGGATGGATGGAAGGAAGGAAGGAAGGAAAAAAAGAATAGCAGAAAAATAGAATAATAGAGTTGGAAGGGACCTTGAAGATCTAGTCCAACCCTCTGCTCGGGCAGGAAACTCTATATAGCATTTCAGGCTGTCCAATCTCTTCTTAAAAACCTCCAGTGATGGGGAAGGAAGGAAGGAAGGATTGATTAAGAGAAAGGAGAAAAATTGAAAGAAATAAAGAGAAAATGAGATGAAGGAAGGAAGGAAGGAAGAAGAAAGGAAGGAGGGAGGAAGGAGGGAGGAAGGAAGGGAGGAAGAAGAAAGGAAGGAGAGGGAGGGAGGAAGGAAGAAGGAAGGAAGAAGAAAGGAAGGAGGGAGGAAGGAAGGGAGGGAGGAAGGAAGGAAGGGAAGGAGGAAGGAAGAAGAAAGGAAGGAGGGAGGAAGGAAGGGAGGAAGGGAAGGAGGAAGGAAGAAGGAAGAAGGGAGGAAGGAAGGAAGGGAGGGAGGAAGAAGGAAGGGAGGGAGGAAGAAGAAAGGAAGGAGGGAGGGAGGGAAGAAGAAGGGAGGGAGAAAGGAAGGAAGGAAGGAAGAAGATAGGAAGGAAGAAGGGAGGAAGGAAGGAAGGAAGGAAGGAGGGAGGAAGAAGGAAGAAGGAAGGAGGGAGGAAGGAAGGGAGGAAGAAGAAAGGAAGGAGAGGGAGGGAGGGAGGAAGGAATAAGGAAGGAAGAAGAAAGGAAGGGAGGAAGAAGAAAGGAAGAAAGGAAGGAAGGAGCTGAGAGTTGAAGGGGAAAGGCGGGGGCGGGAGAAGCCGGGGCTCCCTTTCAGCACCGGCGGAGGGAAAGCGAAAGACGCCCAGGTGGCTCAGCGTTGCGCGCCGTTGCCCGGGCTCTCTGCACGAGCTCAGAGGCGGCCGGGGCGAAGGCGAAGGCGGGCCGGGGGTGGGTCGGGGGCCGGGCCGGGCCTGGGGAAGGAGGCGGCGCCGCGGGCCCGGTTTGCGTAAAGCGCAGCGCTGGGGCTGAGCGCCGGCCTTGCTGGCTGCGCCATGGAGCTGCGGATCCTGGAGCCCCGCGTGCGGGTCCTCAGCCTGGCCCGCCGCGGCCTCTGGCTCTACACCCACCCGCTGCTCAAGATGCTGCTCCTGCCCCAGCGCAGCAGGTGGGGAGGCAAGGGGGGCTGCGCGCACGTGAGAAGGCGCAGACACGCGTGTCGCCGGGGCCGGGCTGGAGAGACTGCGCTGGCGGTGGGCTGGTGCACGCGGGAGGAGAGACTGGGCAGTTGGGAGGGCGCCGACACGCGTGTTCAGGATAGGTGGGCTGGAGAAGCTGCACGGGCGGGGGTTGGTGCGGTTGGGAGGGCGCCGACACGCGTGTCAGGGTAGGTGGGCTGGTGTACGCGGGAGGGCGCAGACGCGCGTGTCGCCGTGGCTAGCCCGGTGGAGAGACTGTGCAACGTTGGTGCGGTTGGGAGGGTGCGGACACGCGTGTTCAGGATAGGTGGGCTGGAGAAGCTGCGCGGGCGGGGGTTGGGGCGGTCGGGAGGGCGCCGACACGCGTGTCAGGGTAGGTGGGCTGGTGCACGCGGAGATCGCAGACGCGCGTCTCGCCTGATGGAGAGACTGGGCAGTTGGGAGGGCGTGGACACGCGTGTTCAGGTTAGGTGGGCTGGAGAAGCTGGGGGTTGGTGCAGTTGAGGGCGCCGACACGCGTGTCAGGGTAGGTGGGCTGGTGCACGCGGGAGGGCGCAGACGCGCGTGTCGCCGTGGCTAGCCCGGCGGAGAGACTCTGCAGACAACGGGCGTTGGTGCCGTTGGGAAGGCGCAGACACGCGTGTCTGCGGAAGGTGGGCTGGAGAAGCTGCCCAGGCGTGGGGTTGGCGCACGCGGGAGGGTGCAGAGTGCAGACACGCGTGTCATTGTGAATGGGCTTAGAGAGACTGCAGGCGGGGGTTGGTGCACTCGGGAGGATGCAGACACGCGTGTCGCCGTGGAATGGGCTGGAGAGACCGCGCAGGCGGAGTGGTGGAATCCTATGGCCGCAGATTCGGCGCTGTCATCGGATTTGTGGATCAGAGCTGGTGTTGACACACGTGCTCCGAATTGGGGGGGGGTGCCTAAGGACCTGCCAACTCTGTTATTCTGACCAGTATATATACGGAAAAATAACCTCTATAATGAAGGGTAGAGCCCTGATATGTGTGTTTGTATACAAGTGTCATACACGTGTGTATACAAATATACAAGAGAGGGGCAGTCCGGTTGCATGTGTGAATAGAGCAGAGCTGTGTCTATTGCCATATCGTGGTGGTTGCTAGCCTCTGAAGATGCCCACAAATTTCCTGGCATCAGAAAGTAGACTGCAATTCTCCAAAAGCCCTGTAGATGGCAAGAAAGGTGCTTTCTGCTGCCATCTAGTGGTACTGTGGAGTATTGCAGCCAGTTGCCCTTGCTTTAGTCCAGGTGGTGTGAGACCCCCGTCCCCCAGCCTTCCCCCCAATATCCGGCTTCCCTTTTGCTTTGCTTTAGACTCTCACCACGCAGACAACTGGCTGGGGGAGATGGGAGTTGTAGTCAGGGGGAACTCAAAAGGAGAAGCCCAGAGGAGGCCTTACCGAAATTGCAGGGTTGAGCCAAAGAGAGAGGAGAAGTTGTGTGTAAGATGAGCCCCAAATTTGGAACTGGGAAAGGGGTGTGTGTCTCTTATGAGAAGCCTTTCCTCCAACCTGGGCCCTTCTAGAGCTCTTGGACTACATTTCCCATCGTCCCCAAGGAGGTTGGAGTTGTTGCCCCTTAAATTCAGGAATGCACCAGCCTCCCCAGCCAAAACCCCGAATACTGTGAATTCTGCACAATCTTTCTAAATTGTCTTTTAAATTTAAAATCGTTTCAAAACTTTTCCTCCAACCTGGGCTCTACTAGAGCTCTGGACTACATGTCCCATCGTCCCCAAGGAGGTTGGAGTTGTTGCCCTTAAATTCAGGAATGCACCAGCTCCCCAGCCAAAACACGAATACTGTGAATTCTGCACAATCTTTCTAAATTGTCTTTTAATTTAAATCGTTTCAAAACTTTTCCTCCAACCTGGGCCTACTAGGTCTTGGACTACATGTCCATCGTCCCCAAGGAGGTTGGAGTTTTGCCCCTTAAATTCAGGAATGCACCAGCTCCCCAGCCAAAACCGAATACTGTGAATTCTGCACAATCTTTCTAATTGTCTTTTAAATTTAAAATCGTTTCAAAACTTTTCCTCCAACTTGGGCCCTACTAGAGCTCTTGGACTACATGTCCCATCGTCCCCAAGGCGGTTGGAGTTGTTGCCCCTTAAATTCAGGAATGCAGACTTGCATCCTCATCCAGAACCCAAATACTGTGAATTCTGCACAATCTTTTTAAAAGATGCCAGTGAGATATTGGCTGTTCCTGTGTTTTGGAGGGGGAGGCTAACCCCTCCCTGGTTCTTGAAAAGGGGCTCCATGGACCCCAATTAGCCTGGGGGGGATCCCTTCCCCCCCCCCCCTTCCCGTGCCTCTTAAGTGCAGCCAAAAAAAGCCACATTTATTTTGGGTGCGGATCCTGACATAACCAGGACGGGACGCCCCCAAGGCTGCTTTGAAAGCCTCGAAGGAAAATAAACAGCTCTCCTCCTTTTATTTTTATTTTTTTTCCACCTCTTGATTCCTCTTGAAGCCGTTTATTTTTTCCCCTTTTGGAGCTAATTATATTTATTTTCCTTTCTTGAAGCCATTTATTTTTTCCTAAATTTCTTCCCGCCCCTGCAGTTGGCTGGAAGAATTGGCAGCCCATCTCTCTCTTTTTCTCTCTCTCTCTTCCTTAAGGGTTTTTTTTTTTCCAGGGGGGTCTTCAGAATTGCAGAAATGAAAGAAAATATATGTTTAAAAAAAAAAGGGGGGGAATATTTTGCAAATATAATGATTCATGGATGCTGTCGGTGTTTTTTTTAGGCTGTCCGGATCATTGTGCCATTTTCAATCAAGAAATATTGTGGGTTTTATATCGATGCTCCGATTCTCAGCTCTGGCTTCGGTTTTGTGGGAGAATTCCGATTTATAAAAATGCTTACTTCCCCCTCATTTATAGAATTAGGAGGTAGTCAAGGGGACGCGGTGGCTCAGGGGCTAAGACGCTGAGCTTGTCGATCGAAAGGTTGGCAATTCAGCGGTTCGAATCCCTGGTGCCACGTAACGGGGTGAGCTCCCATGACTTGTCCCAGCTTCTGCCAACCTAGCAGTTCGAAAGCAGGTAAAAAATGCAAGTAGAAAAATACTGACTTATGACCATTGTTCACACTTACAACCGTTGCGGCATCCCCCTGGCCAGGTGATCAAAACTCACACCCTTGGCCATTGCTTCATATTTATGGCTGTTGCAGTTTCTTGGGGTGACGTGATCCCCTTTTGCGACCAAAACGGGGAAGCCGGATTCACTCAACAACCATGTTGCTAACATAACAAGTGCACAGATTCAGTTAACAGCAAGCGGCAAGTGAAATGGGCAACATTTCTTTAACGCCTGTCTCGCTTAGCAACGGGTATGTAGGGCTCAATTGTGGTCGTAAGTCGAGGACTACCTGCATAATGATTGAGGAATTCTGCTTCCATCCCAGCTCAGGGTTAGCAAAAGGTTTTTTGTTTTGGAGGTAATTTCCTTTATCGTTCGTTATTGTTTAGGGTTAGCTATCTTGCCATAGCAAAGAATCCGAGACAGTGGAAAATTTTCTCTTTAGTTTTCTAACGTGTATGTTTGTGTGTTGAGAGAGGATTTTCAGAGTCATCCTTCAGAACATCTGGAGGGCTCAGCTCCCCTATCAGCACCGAGTAGGTTGTGTCTGGTTTCATAAGTTGTTTTGCACACTTGGAGATAAAAAAAAAAAATGAAGCCTGCCAGCTCGGAATTTGCAATCCGTGTGAAATTTATAACAGAAGATTAAAAACAGAATAACAGAGTGGGAAGGGGGGACCTTGGAGGTCTTATAGTCCAACCCCACTGCTCAGGCAGGAAGCCCCATGTACAATTTCAGACAAAAGGATTGTCCAATCTCTTCTTGAAAATCTCCAGTGATGGAGCCACCCACAAGTTCTAGAGGCAAGTAGTTCCACCGGTTAATTGTTCTCACTGTCAGGAAAATTTCTCCTTGGTTCTAAGTTGCTTCTCTCCTTGATGAGTTTCCACCCATTGCTTCTTGTCCTGCCTTCAGGTGCTTTGGAGAATAGCTTGACTCCCTCTTCTTTGGGGCAGCCCCTGAGATACTGGAACTCTGCTGGCATGTCTCTCCTAATCCTTCTTTTCATCAAACTAGAGATACAGTTTCCAAGTCAGCCTTCTGTGCCTTCCTCTTTTCTCCCAAATTTCCTTCCTAGCAGTCCTTATGGCACTAATTCTGTTTTCTGTTTTGTTCTTTCTCCGGCACAGTTCCTTGGCATTAGTACCGATTGTTTTCCCCACCAGTTCCTGCTTTACAAGCGAGTTTCCTACTTCCTTTAGCTACTTTACTCCGCACGTCTTATCTGGCTGCTTAACTCTTTAAACTCTGCAGCTTCCAAAAGTTGCAAAAAAAACTCTGCAGCTTTACAAATTGGCTTTTTTTTAAAAAAATTTCCCCATAGTGGTTCTTTTTTTTTTTTTAAAGTTTTTTATTTTTTAAAGCAAACAAATATTTAATACATCCATCATCCCTCCCCTGTGACATCTCGGTGTTAACTTCTTCAGTTCTTTTTATTCTTCTTGTTCCAACAGTTTCTTCTATCTTCATCGTCATCTAAACCACTATCAAAGTTCATTCCTATATAACCATATTCTTGCCATCAAATTTTTACACATAGTTATAAAATTAATCATTGATATCTCTTGTCCAACCAACAATAGAAATAATTCCATATTCTAAAGTATTCGGATTCTTCCCTATCTTTAATCAACAAAGTTAATCAGTTCATTTTTGCATAATCTAAAATCTTTTTTTTTTTTTAAATTAGATTTATATGCGGCCCTTCTCCGGAGACTCAGGGCGGCTTACAAGGTGTTAAGCAATAGCCTTCATACTTTTGTATATTTTATACAAAGTCAGCTTATTGCCCCCACAAACTGGGTCCTCAATTTACCTACCTTAGAAAGAATGGAAGGCTGAGTCAACCTTGAGCCTGGGGAGATTCGAACTTGCAATAATTGCAGACAGCTGAATGTTAATAACAGGCTTTTAGTCTGTTGAACTATCCATGCTTTTTTATTTCTTCATCTTCCAAAGGTATTTTCTCTAATTTCCAATTTTGAGCATAAACAATTCTTGCAGCTGTTGTTACGTGTATAATCAAATAAATAGATTCCTTTTTAATTTTGTCAGGTAGGATACCCAATAGGAACAACTCTGCTTTGAATTCAATATGTAATTGTGTCATTGCAATTGTGTCACAGTGATTCTTAAAGGGAAAAATATATATATATTAAGGTTTGCCCTGAAAAAAGCAGAGTTTGAATTTGTACCTTTGCAGAGTGTAGCTAAGCGTTGTATCGAATTGTGGGTTTAAAATTAAAATTATTCTGGAAAATGTAGTTTTGCATTTTTCACCCTTTGCCTTGCTGGGTTTCAAACGGCTGTTTCTTTTTTGGTTTGTTTGTTTTACATTTACACTTCTTTTTGCAATGGCTGCACGCATCCTAGAAAAACAACAAGTTCTTGTTTTGAAAAGCCTTAAGGCTGCAGGGTAAACAAGTCCGAAACAGTTTCCAGTTTGAAAAAAACTAACAGTTTGGTTGTTAGAATGAAATATATATATATATATATGGCTTAAATCTTTGTACAGTGAAGATGGTGGCCCAGGAAGCAATTTAAATCAACATTAAGCTAGGAAAAAAAAATATTGGTCCCCATGTGAAATAGTTTCATAACCCTGAATGTTATTGATGTATTTGGGGCCTTATTGAAAAGGAGAAAAAAAATACTTCTGCAAATGTGGAAGAAAAATATTGTGGCTTGCTCAGTCGCCCGTACGGCATTCCGATCACCTGTGATAACCAGGTAATTTGCTAATGAGATTTCTTCACTGTCTTGTTTTTTTTCCTTTAAGTTCCTCTTTGTCATTCTTCCCTTCCTCTTTGGCTTTCCCTCTTTCCTTCCTTTCTCACCTGAGACCTAGTTTCTGCTTCGGTGTGAATTTTGAACTCACCTGGTGAACTTTTTCCTTCTGAAATCTGGTCGGCCAGCGAAACAATTCAATATTTAGCTCAACTGTTTTTCAAACTCGGCCACTTCCAAGATAGGTGGACTTCCAACTTCCAGAATCCCCCAGCCAGCTATATAATCATAGGAAGGGACCTCGGCAGTGGTGAAATGTAAAATTTGTTACTACTGGTTCTGTGGTCGTGGCTTGGTGATGGTGGGGTAATATGACTCAGTGGCGTGGCCAACTTTTTTTTTTACTTTTAAAACCATTTTTTCTACAACCTCTTTGGCTGAAGAAACCACTAAGCTCAGAAAATGCCAAGGACCCCACAGTCTTCCTTCTCCTCCTCCTCCTCCTCCTCCTCCTCCTCCTCCTCCTCCTCCCTCCCTCCCACAAAGCCCCCTTCCTCCTACACTGATGATTTTACCTAGTTGGGTCATGAAACGTCTGCAGGAAAACCACTAAGCACAGAAAACACCAAGGACCCCACAGTTGAAGCCTGAGCTACGAATATTCTCTTCTATTGAAGCCTGAAATGGTTTACAAAAATCTGGCTTAATCCTTTTGCGGTGCCAAGTTGGGACAAAACAAAACAAAACAACAACAGCATTTGTGGCTGATTTGCCACCGATGAGCTGGACGTTACATGTGCCAACTCCAAGGGTTTCACGTGAATCAGCAATCTCTTTCATTCCGGCCCATTTGATCTGCTCAAACAATCTTTTTTTTTTCCCCCCTTTCTCAAACTCTCGCAAGGGAATAAACAAGTTGTGTGTCAGACAAAAAGGGCAGGGCGCTTGGTGTTGCGGTTAAACAGGCTTTGTGTTGTGGGACTGCGGTTTGAGTGCAGCTTGGTTATTTTTCTTTGGCTTGCTTAAGAGGCCCTGGATAATGTTTGATATGTAATGAAATTTTGCTGGAGTGGGTTTGTGTGTGTGTGTGTGTGTGTGTGTGTGAAAGAGAGAGAGAGAGAGGGAAGGAAGGAGGGAGAAGAGAGAGAGAAAAAAGAAAGAAGTAGGGAGGAAGGATGGAAGAGAAGAAAGAAAGAGAAAAAAGAAAAAAAAGAAAAAAGAGAAAGAAAGAGGGAGGGAGGGAGGAAGACAAGAAAGAAATAGAGAGAGAAAAGAAAGAAAAGAAAAGAGAAAAGAGAGAAAGAAAGGAGAAAGAAAGAAAAAGAAAGAAAGAAAAAGAAAGAAAGGAAAGAAAGAAAGAAAGAGCAAAGAGAAAGAAAAGAGAAAGAAAAAGAAAAGGGAAAAAGAAAAACGGAAGGAAGGAAAGAAGAAAGAAAGGGTGAAGAGAAAGAAAAGAGAAAAAGTGAAAGAAAGAAAGAAAAAAAGAAAAAAGGAAGGAGAAAGAAAGAAAAAAGAAAGAAAGAAAGAAAGAAGATTGAATGGTTGAAAATATGGGTGTCTCCACTTCTCAGAGAGGAAAATGTAGAGTTTAAATCAAGGGAGTCCAACCTTGGCAACTTTTTAAGACTTGTGGACTTCAGCTGGCTGGGGAATTCTGGGAGTTGAAGTCCGCAGTTGCCAAGGTTGGACACCCCGAGTTTAAACGCTTCTGGGGATTTCCTTTGCTGCTCCAGAGCCTTTTAAAGATCTTTATTTTATTTTATTTTTAAATGTAAGGATGTCTTATTTTGGCCAAAGGACTTGCCGCATTGGAAAGATAAATATATTTTTCACTCAAAGTGCATTTGCCACTTATGATTGGTTGGCCTAGAGACGTAGCCTTTGTATGGACAGGTGTAATAAAATAGGGGACTCATTTATACAGAATGCAGTAGCTTAAAATAATGACAGTGATATAAATGCTTTGGAAATATACACAGATATAGAAATATTTGCATTAAACAAGAATGCAGGTAGATCGTGACTTATGACCAAAAGTGAGGCAGGAATTACAATGGTAAGTTGTGTCCTGGTGCCTTAAACACTGGACCAAACTGTCTATCTCGGTGTTCCCGAATAGGTAAAGGTAAAGGTTCCCCCTCGCACATACGTGCTAGTCGTTCCCGACTCTAGGTGGCGCTGCTCATCTCCGTTTCAAAGCCGGAGAGCCAGCGCTGTCCGAAGACGTCTCCGTGGTCATGTGGCCGGCATGACTCAACGCCAAAGGTGCACGGAAACGCTGTTCCCTTCCCACCAAAGCTGGTCCCTATTTTTCTACTTGCATTTTTTTACGTGCTTTCGAACTGCTAGGTTGGCAGAAGCTGGGACAAGTCACGGGAGCTCACCCCATTACGCGGCACCAGGGATTCGAACCGCCGAACTGCCGACCTTTCGATCGACAAGCTCAGCGTCTTAGCCACTAAGCCACCACGTCCCTGTTCCTGGATAGGGGTACAGAAAAACAACCTGGGGTGGAACCTTAATCCGAATTCTGCCTAGCGCTGCTTGGTGGTTGATGGTGATTTTCCCAATTTCTGTCCAAAATTTCGCGGAGTGAGTTCCTAAGCCTGACTTAGCGCTCTTCTCTTTCCCCAGGTGTAGATTTTTCAGCTTAACCGAGACACCTGAAGACTACACGATCATGTTGGATGAAGATGGCTTCAAAGGTATGAGCACCTTTTGGCGTGCAGGAATTCCTCATTTACTGACCACTCGTTCAGTTGTGGCCAGGACTGAAAACAACACATTTGTAGCCAGTTTCTGACTATTTGGACTGGATGACCTCCAAGGTCCCTTCAACTCTGTTACTGTAGCCTGACTAGGTGGCTCAAGTGGCTAAGACACTGAGCTTGTCGATCAGATGATTTTTTTTTTTTAATTTGATTTATATGCCGCCCTTCTCCGGAGACTCAGGGCGGCTTACCATGCGTTAAGCAATAGCCTTCATCCTTTTGTATATTTATACAAAATCAGCTTATTGCCCCCACAAACTGGGTCCTCAATTTACCTACCTTTGAAAGTATGGAAGGCTGAGTCAACCTTGAGCCTGGCGAGATTCGAACTTGCAATAATTGCAGACAGCTGAATGTTAATAACAGGCTTTTAGTCTGTTGAGCTATCTAGGCTCCTGGAGGAAGTGGAGGAAATTGCAGCCCTGGAAAATAAGAAGCCATCTCTCCTGCTTCGGTCCGGCATTTTTGGTTGGGTGGTTCCTGCAATTCCAAGAAAGGGAACAATCGCTTGGCCGACCAGCTGTATATTTCCAAGGATGGAGAGGGAACAGATGTTTATCTTGCCCAGTGGAGCATGGGGAGTGGAAAAACGGTCCCGCTTGGCCAGTCTTTGCTGACCGTAGCGGCTTTTGTATCGCTGGAGTGGCTCCAGCGTGGCCTTGGCAGAAGGGTTGGCACGGCTGAAGGAAGGTGTGATCTTCCGAAGCTGGGAGGAGAGCTTCAGGCTGTTCCCAGGGAACAAGGTTCGCATGTGGGGATAGGGTGAAGGGAACTCCCCACCACCACTCCGGTGCTTCCTGGAATGGGGTGGGGGTGAGGGAGAGAATCTGGCTGTCTGGGGAGGAGGGGAAGAGTTTGAAGGAATCTTTATTACTGTTGTAGACCGACATAAAGGGAGGAAAGGGAGGAAGGAAGGAAGGAAGGAAGGAAGGAAGGAAGGAAGGAAGGAAGGAAGGAAGGAAGGAAGGAAGGAAGGAAGGAAGGATAAAAGTGAGTGAGGAAGGAAGGAAGGGGCATAACGGATAGGGAAGGAAGGAAGGATAAAGGTGAGGAAGAAAGGGAAGAGAAAAGACAGAAAGAAAGGGCACAACTGGGATAAGGAAGGAAGGAAGGAAGGAAAGAAAGAAACGGCAACAACTGGGATAAGAAAGAAGGAAGGAAGGAAAGGAAGGAAGGATAAAATTGAGTGAGGAAGGAAGGAAGGAAGTATTATTATTATTATTATTATTATTATTTATTATTATTATTATTATTATTAATTGAATTTATATACCGCCCTTCTCCCCGAAGGGACTCAGGGCGGTGAACAGCCCATAACTGGGAAAGGGAAGGAAGGAAGGAAGGATAGAAGTGAGGAAGGAAAGAAAGGGCATAACTGGGATAAGGAAGGAAGGAAGGAAGGAAAGGAAAGGAAGGAAGAATAAAATTGAGTGAGGAAGGAAGGAAGGGGCATAACTGGGATAGGGAAGGAAGGAAGGATAAAAGTGAGGAAGAAAGGAAGAAAAGAAAGGGCATAACTGGGATAACAAAGGAAGGAAGGAAAGAAAGGAAGGATTAAAAAAATGCCCCTCCCCCACCATGGTGCAGGAGGCCGATTAGGCCACGCCCACCATGGCCACGCCCATCCAGCAACTGGCCAAAGAACCCCTTGCTAAAATTTTTGAAGCCCCACCCCTGGTGGTAAATCTAAGATTTGGCTGAGAGATCTCGTTTCTTAGACGTTGTGTCCCTCTCGGTGATGGTGGGGAATTCTGTCTGGGGGGGAAAAAAGGGGGCAAAATTTTCTTTTCTCTCCCCCCCACCTTGCAAATTCCTTCTGAATGGAAACCTTTGATCCTCTGAGGACCATTAACAGGCTTCCAGTCATCCAGTCATCTGAAAAAACGAAAGGTCTTAATTTTTAACCCAATTTGGAGGAGAGCCATTCTGGGTTTCCCTGTCGTTTTTCCATGTCACCTTGTGGTAGCCTTCTTTTTCAAATTAAGTTTTCTTTTTAACTTGAAAACAGCCCAAAAACAGGCATGTGCACCGCCAGCCAGCTGTTTTTTGGGTTTCCGGTGCTCCGGTGGGTGCACACACACATGTGCATTCCATTACGGGCACTCGGTGCCGAAAAGGTCCGCCATCCCTGTTCTATGTAGTTTCGTGACGTTTTCTCACATTTCTTCCAGAACTTCACGCCTCTGAGTACCTACAAGTGGTGGATTCCACCTGGCTGGTGCTTAACGTCTCGTCGAACGGCAGCGCCTCCATCAGCCAGCCGATAGGAGTCACCAAGATTGCAAAATCCGTCATCGCACCCCTGGCCGAACATAACGTCTCCGTCTTAATGTTGTCCACCTATCAGACGGATTTTATTTTGGTGAGCTTTTGGGGGGAGTGTTCTGTCCCCGTCCCACACACACACCAACAGACGTCCAAGAATTAAAAACCAAACCAGCCGACAAAATCCTTATGATAACGGAACTTGGCAGCAACCTAGTGGCTGCCTGCCAAGAGTTTATTACTCACGAAGGGAAGAGATAACTTCTCTCCGCTTCTGGTACATCAAAGTAAAATGTTCAATAATTACAGAGTAACTTAAGTCCAAATATAATCCAGCAAAGCCTATAGCAAAAGTCCGGCAATGCAGAATGGCATGGAAGCTTTCAGCTTTGTTCGTCACAAGGCTTGACTGGCCACCACGCTCCCTTTTATACCCTGTGGGGTGTGGTCCAGTGACTCAGCCTAATCTCTGGCACGCCTCCTCTTTTGTTGCGGGCGCTTATCTCTCCGATGCTGGCATGGATCCAGCCAAGACTCATCCCCGTCACTGTCCGACTGTGCCTGCGCGGGGATACCTGGCTCCTGGCCAATCTCTTCTCCGTCGGGAGACACGTGAGGCATTGCCAGAGAGGAGGGTCCTGGAGAGGGAGGCCCGGCCAACTCCTCTCCTTCCCTTTCGGAGCCTTCTTCCTCCAATAAGACGGGCTCGGGGGTTGGAGCCACAACAGGGAGCCGGTTCCAGAGCCAGGATGGGCACTGTGGTATCATAAGGGCTGGGTTCAGAGGTGGAAATGGGAGGCGGTGTGGCTGACACCGAGAGAGAACAGCTAGCCAACCAGCATCAACTCAGGATTTGGAATAACACAGTTAGACGGGACCTTGGAGGTCTTCTAGTCCAGTGATGGCTACCCTTTTTTCTTCGGGTGCCAAAAGCACATGCGTGTGCTGGCACCCATAATGCAGTGTGTGAGCCCCCACGCATGCACACACGACCCCCACGACTGCGCACATAACCCCCACGTGACCCCTGCGCATGCACGCAAGGGAATTTTAGCAACCTGCACCACGGCGGGAGGATGGCTGGTGCTTTTGTCCTCCCCAGGCTCCAGAGGCTTTCCTCGAGCCTCAGGGAGGGCAAAAACAGCCTCCCCTGGGCTCCAGAGGCCCTCCAGAGGCCAGAAATGAACCTGTTTTCGGACTTCTGGTACTTCCGGTAGGCCTGTTTTTTGCCTTCCCCAGGCTCCGGAGGCTTTTTTTGAGCCTCCGGGAGGGTGAATACGGCCTCCCTTGGACTCCCTCTGGAGGCCCTCTGGAAGCCGGAAATGCCTCTCCCTGCTGCACTCCCCCCTGCCCCCACACATCCGTGCGCGACAAGGGTTGGCAATCAGCCCAGAAACCAAGTTGTAACAAAAAACTCACTCTCAAAATGCTCTGCGTAGGACCAAACGTTGTTTCCAGCAACATTTGTCAGCTGTGTGCGAACTTAAATAGGCTAAGGGAGTGGCCAATTAGCCCCAAGCCTTACTCTCAAGGAGACCTCCTCCTGAGTAGCCACTCCTGCCTTTTGGCAGCCCTGCGTGCTCGAGCACTGAGGAGAGGCTCCTCCACTTCACTCTCTTCACTTGAAGGAGCCTCTGGAGGTTCTGAAGGCCCTGGCTGAGACTCTGCCTTTGGCACCACATCCTCTTCAGCCTCCTCGCTGTCCGACTCGAGCGCCAGCTGTACAGGCTGCTGGCATGACACCACACCAGCTTCCTTGTCGTCGGGATCAGCCACGATCCACGCAGGCTGCTGGCGAGCCACAACAGCGTGCCCGCAGAGATGTAATCATGTGCTATAGGTTTGCAGGAGAAATGGAAGCCATTCAAAATGGAAGTCGCGATGCTGTAATTTCGGTGATCTTTGGTCTGCCTTTCAGGTACGGGAGAAGGATCTGCCTGTGGTCATTCACACCCTGGCCAGCGAATTTGAAATTTATAAGGAGGTGAATGGAGAACTGGCCCCTGCAAACTGTGAAGACATAAGCAACGGGTTCCACAAGGCAAAGCAAGGTGGGTTTTCCTATTGCTGAGATCAAATCAGAATAATTCCAGTACTTGAGTACTTCCAATATTTGAGGGACTGTCCCAGAGAAGAGGGGGTCGACTTATTCTCCAAAGCACCAGAGGGCAGGACAAGAAGTAACAGGTGGAAGACCATCAGTTTCAAATAGAAATAGAATAACAGAGTTGGAAGGGACCTTGGAGGTCTTCTAGTCCAACCCTCTGCTTAGGTAGGAAACCCTACACCGCTTCAGACAAAGAGAGATCACATTAGAGAGGGATCCAACTTAGAACTAAGCAGGAATTTCCTGACAGGACAATTAATCAGTGGAACAGCTTGCCTCTAGAGAAATTGTTGGGAAATTGTCCATCCCTGGAGTCGAGGGTTTTTCTTTCCTAAGGGATCAGACTGGGACAGGACTGACAGTGTCTCTCTCCCTCTCTCTTTCTCTCTCTGCTTCTCAGAATTCAACGCCACGGTGCATCCCATTCAGACTCCTCAGAATAGATTCTGCATTCTCAGCATCGCTCCCGAAACGTTGCCAGCCATTGCCACGAAGCTCATCGATGTCCTGTTCTACTCAGCCAGGTTGGTGATTGATGTGTGCTGATTGTTTGTCGGAGGAAAAAGAAAGTTGCTAAGGAAAAGGGAAAATCTACCAGGAATGCTCTTAGCCAGGATTTTTTAGGTAGTCCTCGACTTATGACAGTCGAGTCTAAAATCCCCCATGATAAGCGAGACCGTTCTTAAGTGAGTTTTGTCCCATTTTACAACCTTTTTTTGCCACCGTTGTTAAGTGAATCACTGCATTGTTAAGTTAGTAAAAATGGTTGTGAAGTGAATCGGGCTTCTCCATATCATTGCTACCTCCAATTATGAGACTCTAGTCAACTAACGGTCAGAGCCAAATTGGCAATCGATAAGGCTCAGTGTAATTCACAGGGCTGTACTGGGTTCTTTTGTGACAACGCAATGACTCTAAACTGATGACACCTTTTATGCCGCCTTCCATCTCAGCTTCTTCTTCTGCTACAGAATATTCCTAATCTTATTTTTCTCCTGTGATCAGATTGTCTGATCTAAGCTCCAATTTGAGAGGACCACAGATCCTTCCTTTTATGACAGTAGGAAAGTCGTACTGAAACCATTTTCATTTCCACCCCATGCTTCCAAAATAGGAGGCATTTATGGTCCAAAATTTGACGTTGGCGTTTCTTTCCTTGGCCTTTTCAGCCCACCAAAAGATGCAGCTGCTAACAACCAGGAGTCCATTACTTTCTTTGCCTTCTCACTGATTGAGGGCTACATCTCCATCGTCATGGATGCAGAGACCAAGAAAAAGTGAGTGCCACACAAAGGGGAGTTTTGTGCGTGCTGTGGATTGAGAGGATTACAATCCTCTGAGTAGGCGTTAATTACACCAGGAGCAATCATCACAACGCCTGCAGTGATGCTCCATAGATTTGTTGAAAGGAGAATATTCTCATTTGACTTGTTTAGAGGTGTATGGAGATGGTCTTGAAAGAGGAATGGAGGACTAGTGGGTGAAATGATAGCAATGTCCCAATATCTCAGGGGCTGCCCCAAAGAAGAGGGAGTCAAGCTATTCTCCAAAGCACCAGAAGGCAGAACAAGAAACAATGAATGGAAACAAATCAAGGAGTGAAGCAACCTTAGAACGAAGGAGGAATTTCCTGACAGGGAGGAGAAGTAACCAGAAGTTGTGGGTGCTCCATCACTGGAGGTTTTCAAGAAGAGACTGGATAACCCTTTGTCCAGGAAGTTATAGGGTCTCCTACTTGGGGAGGGATTGAACTAGAAGACCCCCAAGCTCCTTTCCAACTCTGTTATTCCGTGTTATTCTGTAATAGTTACGTAAACTCAGCTTAGCTATGGGAAGTAGAAAAGGGTGTGAAAAAACTCAAGACTACTTCATCTTGATTCTCTTTCGTATCAGAGTGAGGAAAGGACTTTCAAAATTCTGTTTTTATAACGCCCGTTACGATAAGTAAGAGTTCCAGTAATCCTTGTGAAGTCTGATGCCTGACCTATCGCAATGGATTGGCAGCTTATAGTTGGAGACGACTTAAATAGCTAAGACTACCAGACGGAATCATTGATTTGGCTTCAATTGCTTCCCAGTATTGTAAATTCAGAAGCAAAATACCATTTTTTTATATATATATATATATATATATATCAAAAGGATCAGGGGTGGGCTTCAAAAATTTTAGCAAGGGGTTCTTTGCCCAGTTGCTGGGTGGGCGTGGCCATGGTGGGTGTGGCCTAGTCGGCTTCCTGCACCACAGCGGGGGCTGGGATGGTGTTTTTGCCCTCCCTGGGCTCCGGAGGCCTTTCTCAAGCCTCCGGGAGGTCGAAAACGGCCTCCCCAGGCTCCGGAAGCCCTCTGGAGGCTAGATTCTCCCGAACCCCTGCGAACCCCCAGCAGCCCTCCCCTGAAAAGGTTTGAATCCCAGATACCTTCCAAGTAGTGATAGATCTTCTCTGAAACGATCAGCATTTGGGTGGCAGAATTAGCCTAGTTGCTAATTCAGGTATGGTGTTGGGCAGAGACCCCCCCCTTGGGTCTACTGAGGAAAGAATGACAGTAGAAGGCATCTTAGAAGTTCCTGAGTTGAGTCCAGCAAGCATCTGGGTTAGCTTTGCTCCAACGGATAACGTTGTGGAGAAGACATGAGATTTTCCTTTCCTTTCCCAGGTTCCCTAGCGACCTGCTGTTGACCAGTTCGTCAGGGGAACTCTGGAGGATGGTCAGAATTGGTGGACAGCCCCTGGGCTTTGGTGAGTAGCGTTATACTTTCTTTTCCACACTTTATCAATGACGGCAGTAAAGGTAGAGGTTCCCCTCGCAGATACGTGCTAGCCATTCCCGACTCTAGGGGACGGTGCTTATCTCCGTTTCAAAGAGCCAGCGCTGTCCGAAGACATCTCCGTGGTCATGTGGCCAGCATGACTAAAGGCCCACGGAATGCTGTTCCCTTCCCACCAAAGGTGGTCCCTCTTTTTCTACTTGCATTTTTTTTAATGTGGTTTCGAACTGCAAGGTTGGCAGAAGCTGGGACAAGTCACGGGAGCTCACCCCATTATGCGGCACTCGGGATTTGAACCGTTGAACTGCCAACCTTTCGATCGACAAGCTCAGCGTCTTAGCCACTGAGCCACCGCGCCCCTCTATGACGGTGGTACTGTATAGATAATAGATTCTCTTGGAATTAACTCGGAAGTAAGCAGAATACGGGTAGTTCCTGTGAGCACAATTGGAAGTAGAATTTCCATTTCCACTTAACTCGGATCCCATCCCCAGGAAGAAGTCAACTCCCATTTCTAAACCATCGATTAGAGCCACTGCATGGATCTGAGACGGTGTCCAAAAGGCCTCCTGGGTTCTCCTCAGAGCAGGGCTCTCCAAACTTGGCAACTTTTTAAGACTTGTGGACTTCAACTCTCAGAATTCCCCAGCTGTTCTGACCTAGGCTTCCCAAGAGCACGAAGCAGACTCCTTGTCCAGATAAAAAATCCTTTTGATTAAGTTACTGTGAATTCCTCTCAGTCACATCCAGCCAAGTCTTTCAAGGGAGAATTTACAGTCGCAAACCTTATCCGGCTTGGAGAGCTGCCAGGCCGATATCTTCAAAACTTGGCAAGGAGTCACAAACCAATTAAGCGGACTAATTGTCTCCTGCAAACTCCACTCCCCTGTCGCTCCTCTTTTATTCCCTCTGGGAGGGGCCATTCATCGTCCACTTGTAGCCTTACTCCCAAGTCGACCCTTGTTCTTTAGCTGTTCCCTTCGTCTGGCAACTCTGCGCGTGCGCACACTGGGAACAGGCTCCAGCTGTTCCTCTGCCTCAGTGATGTCTGACTCCGAAGGCAGCTGATAACTGTCAGACGGTCCTGGCTCCCTCTCTGCCTCGGACGCAGAGCCCTCATCAGAGCCTTCCCCAGACTCCAGGACTGGCCCATGTTCCTCCCCAACCTCCTCACTGTCCGAATCTGCCACCAGCTCCGCTGGCCGCTGGCGGGCCACAACACCAGGCAACCATGGGCGTTGAAGTCCACAAGTCTTAAAACGTTGCCAGATTTGGAGAACCCTGCTTAGAGGAAAGTGCTTCTCCTTCAAAAAAAGGAGTCATCTTGTTTGGTCAAATTCCAGAACCTGAGAAGGTTGGCCCAGCATTAAGTTGATGTGTCTCCTGGTTCCTCCTTTCTACAGATGAATGTGGGATCGTGGCCCAGATTGCGGAACCTCTGGCCAACGCGGACATCTCCGCCTATTACATCAGCACCTTCAACTTTGACCACGCCTTGGTAAGCCCCAAAGGGCTTGAGGACATCCCGAGTTTGAAGCATTTGTTGTTTGGAGGGTCGCTGATTTTTTTTAAATTTATATTATTTCACCTTTATGATTGTTTATAAACACCTCGAGGTGACGAACATACCTAATAATACTCCTTCCTCCTCCTATTTTGCCCACAACAATTACCCCGGGAAGTAATTACCCCCGGCTAAGGTGTGGGACTAGAACTCACCGTCTCCTGGTTTCTAGCTTGGTGTCTTAACCATTTGGCCAAACTTTGATTGCCTTGAGTTGTTTTGAGGCGTAAGATGTGACTATGAGTGTAAATTAAACCCCTTTCCTTCCCTTTTCTTCCTTTCCTTTCCTTTCCATTCCTTTCCCCTTCCCCTTCCACTCCCCCTATCTTCCCTTCCTTTCCCTTTCCTGTTCCCTTCCCTTCCCTCTCCTCTCCTTTCCCTTCTCCTTCCCCTTCCCTTCCACCAATCAGAATAATATGGCGGCCAATTTAATAAGACAAAAATCTTATTCTTAATAGCAGTATTAAATTTGTTAGACATCTGAAGACAATCCCCCCAAAATAACTTGGCCCTTCCCTTATATTTGTTATTTCCTAAAAGGCGTCAATGCAACCCAGCTTTTTTTCTTCCCCGTTCCGTTCCCTCCAGGTTCCAGAAGATGGCATTGGCGAGGTCATTGAAGTGCTCCAGAAACGCCAGGAGGCTGGGAGTTAACCACCTGGGCTCCCTTCGTCTCAGGTGTGGGTTTCAGAAGCCAAACTGATGGATCTGGTCCAGCCTTACTCCCCACGGATGTTCCTGGAGAGGGAGAGAGAGAGCCTGGGAGCCCAGCTCCTCTGCAAGCCAAATTATCTTTCTGGGGGGACTCGTATTTGCGTGGAGGACATTCCTAACATTCTCACCTGAGGATACCTTCCATTTCTCCCAGGGGAGAAACACGTGCCTTGTTGTCCTAATTCTCCAGATTGACCAACAGGGATGGGATTCTCTAGGTAGATTTCAGTGTTACTGCTTCTTCTGGTTATCTCAGCCGTCTTCGTGTTCCTTGATGATCTGCTGTCTCTAAAAACCCTCAGACATGATGACCTGCTTCATGGTCAGAAAGGAGAGGTGTCTTCTCGTTCTCTCTCTTAATTTTGCACATATTCTGAGATTTCTAAAAGCGTCCTTGGGGGGGGAGGGGGCAGGGACGATGTGACTTAATTAGAATTGCACTCCATGCCCCGCAATGAAAGGATGATGTTCTCCAGAAACAATGTTCTCTAGATGATTTGATTGAGGGAAGGGGTGAAATCTACTTACCTTCCCTACCGGTTCGGATGTGCGCGCGTGCCATCTTCACGTCCGATTTTAGACCCTCTTCGCTTGCGCAAAGCCTTCTGCGCGTGCTCAAGAGAGTCAAAAACAGGTTGCTTCCTGGTTCAAACCAGGAAGTAACGATGTCCGGGCGGTTGTGCGGAGCCTCGCGCTGCCGCCGCTACCGGTTCGCTGGACCACACTCCGCCGCCGCTACCAGTTCGGCTGAACCAGAGCGAACTGGTAGCATTTCACTCCTGATTGAGGGGCTTCAGGAGATGATAACCCCAACGTATCTGGAGTCCAAACAGCCCTGGCTTTAGAGTCAGGTTCCCCTCTTCAGTGCACAATGTTAAGAGTAGGAAACACTTGATTTTTAAATTTTATTTTAATCGGTTGTAGGGAAGGTTGGAGAAGTGACCAGAAGGAGGACCAGAGCGAGCTTTGGACCTCGATGTCCATTGTTCAATGGCTGCTAAAAAGAGAGAAATAAGCTTTTTTGGGGTGGTGCTCCTGCAGCGTCCGTTACTTCTGGTCTCTTGTGGTCGGTGAGCAGTATTACAAACCGACATGAATCTGAAGCATTCGTTGTCAAATATTTTTTGGGGGGGCAGGTTGGCGTTGGGAGAAAACGTGGGTCGAAAGAAAGCTCCCTCTTCTTCCCCACCCCACCCCCCTGCTTTTTTGAAGCCTTAATGCCTTAAAAGTGCCTTCTTGTTATTAAGCTTTCTTGAAGGACAAACGATCGTGTGAAGCTACGGCCTTCATCTGGTACGAAATTCTGGAATGGCCTGAAAAAACGGAAGAACTCGTGTTGCAGTTAGAAACCGTGTCTTTTTTTTTGTACTGAACGTGGGATGGAAGTAGAGAGGTCCCCTGGTTTACGTCGGGGTGTTGGGTGACACGGAGCGCGTCCTTTTGTCTTTCCACCCCTTGGGGCGGGGGTGGGCTTCAAAAATTTTAGCAAGGGGTCCTCTGCCCGGTTGCTGGTTGGGTGTGGCCATGTGGCCTCCTCCGCCACGGCGGGGAAGGGGCATTTTTGCCCTCCCTGGGCTCTGGAGGCTTTCCTCGAGCCTGTGGGAGGACAAAAACGGCCTCCCCAGGCTCCAAGGGCCCTCTGGAGGCCGGAAATGGGGCCGAATTTCCAGTAGTCCTGTTTTTTGCCCTCCCCGAGCATCTCCCATGCCCTGCACTTACCAGCATCTAAAACAGGCCACGTGGGGACTCCTGGGAGGGGGTAGGCAGGGTCCGCCAGGAGTGGGATTTGGGGGGGTCTCCGAACTGCACAGAATCTTAGCTAGAGGTTCTCCCGAACCCCTGCGAACTCCCAGAAGCCCACGCCTGCCTTGGGGACCTCTTATGAGGTCTCTTCTTGGGGACCAAGGAGAAGGTTGAGTTTAGATGTCTTACCGCTCCAAACTCCTCCTGCTCGAAAGAGAAGGATTGTGGTTGTGTAGCTTCCCTCCCCCTTCTTTCTTAGCCAATCAGATTGCTAGGAAAAAGGGGGGGAAGGTTTGCCCACTCCCATCGGGCCGGCCCAAGCCTTGTGATGGTGATCTTGAGTTGAGAAGGTTGGCGTTGGCTTCTCAAAGGCATCGGTAGAAGATGGGACCTCTCACCACTTACAGATTGACGCGCCTCCACCTCTACCCATCTAGGCCTTCCCAGACTTTGGGTTTTCTAGAAAGTTCCTAGAGCTTTCCACGCGAGTTGAGAGTCCATGATCCAACATGGGACCAATCACCCATCTTCTCTTGAATAGAAGAGAAGAAATTGGGCACAACAGAAACTGGCCTGAGAACATGGATTGGTGGAGTTGGTCAGGAAAGACACAAATCGGTGCACCCTTCGCCACCATGATCTTAATTTTATTTGTTGGTGCTATAAACTTTAGACTAAAAAGTTGTGTTCCTTCTCTACAATGGAAGCCTTTCCTTAGCTGTGGCTAAGATTCAGATTTCTTTATAAAGTTCTGTATAATTGGTTTTTTTTTTTCGGGGAGGGGAGACATGGTTTTAAAGTTTGGTCAATAAAGGTCATTTTTAAAAAAAATGTTCAAACGATCTAATAAAGCAGCGTATAACTCAATATGTGGTACAGAAGTCTTGGCTTGATGATACATTGGGTACAGTGGTGAAATCCAATTTTTTTTTTTACTGCCGGTTCTGTGGGCGTGGCTTGGTGGGCGTAGTGTGGCTTGGTGGGGGTGGCAGGGGTTAGGGTTATTGCAAAAATCCCCATTCCCTTTCCACTCCTAGGGAAAGGATACTGCAAAATCCCCATTCCCTCCCCACTCTTGGGGGAAGGATACTGCAAAATCCCCATTCCCTCCCCACTCCTGGGGGAAGGCTATTGCAAAATCCCCATTCCCTTCCCACTCCTAGGGAAAGGATACTGCAAAATCCCCATTCCCTCCCTACTCTTGGGGGAAGGATACTGCAAAATCCCCATTCCCTCCCCACTCTTGGGGGAAGGATACTGCAAAATCCCCATTCCCTCCCCACTCCTGGGGGAAGGCTATTGCAAAATCCACATTCCCTCCCCACTCCTGGGGGAAGGCTATTGCAAAATCCCCATTCCCTCCCCACTCCTGGGGAAAGGTTATTGCAAAATCTCCATTCCCATTCGTGCCAGCCAGAGGTGGTCTTTGCCGGTTCTCCGAACTATGCTGCGAACCGATAGTAAAAGTAAGTAGAACCCACCCCTGCTTCAACCTTCAACTGTCTACCGTGGACCTCACCCCATTCCTAAGAGGTCCGTAAAGGGGGCGTGCATAAGCGCACCAGCGTGCCTTCCGTCCCTGTCCTACTGTCCCCATTTATTGGTACTCATTTCCTATGTTCACGTCCATGTTTATTTATTTATTTATTTATTTTATTTGTTTTAATTTGTATACCGCCCTTCTCCAACAGGACTCGGGGCGGTGAACAGACAATAAAACAGAACATACAAAATTTTATACTTATACCTGTTATCTCGTACATGTTGGACAAACTAACTAAACAAATAAATAAAATATTCATTCTAAAAATCTTAAAAAGAAATTACCTATAGATAGATAGATAGATAGATAGATAGATAGATAGATGATAGACAGCTAGACAGCTAGATAGATTAGATATAGATATAGATATAGATATAGATATAGATATAGATACAGATATAGATATAGATATGACTATATTCACTGAGCTATGGCTGCATTTTGAAAATCTTGGTTTACGTAGGAAAATACCTGGCTGAGGAGAAATACATATATATAGATATAGATATATAGATATATAGTATTTCTCTTTAGCCAGGTTCTTCCTACGTAAACCAAGATTTTTATGCAGCCCTAATTCAGTGAAATCACAATCCACTAATTTCTAGTTTTTTTTTTCTGGCATTCAGCAAACACTCTGCTGCCCATTGGGAGACTAAGGAGAGCAGAGTGTTTGCTGAATGCCAGAAAAAAAAGCCTAGAAACTAGTAGATTGTGATTTAACTGAACTAGGGCTGCATAAAAATCTTGGTTTACCTAGGAAGAACCTGGCTAAAGAGAAATGCACATAAAGCCTACGAAAAGGAAAGAAAACAAATAGATATATAGATATATATCTCTTCACCAGCAGAGGGAGCTAGAGACCAATTTTTGCATTGAGAAATTTGTGTCTCATCACATTAAGTAAAATTTCCAGTTTCTCTTCTCTTCACCCCTAAAGAAGGGAAGCTTGGTTTGATTTTTTTTTTTCCTCACGTATCAAAAGTCTTTAATATTGTCTGGCAGGAAACATGCATTATAAGTAGATGATGCACATCAAACCATAATAGGAGCCTCAATAGCTCAACAGACAGAAGCACTGTAATTTAACACCAGCTGTCTGCAATTAAAGTAAGATCGAATCTCCCCAGGCTCAAGGTTGACTCAGCCTTCCATCCTTTCTAAGGTAGGTAAATTGAGGACCCAGTTTGTGGGGGCAATAAGCTGACTTTGTATAAATATACAAAAGTATGAAGGCTATTGCTTAATGCACTGTAAGCCGCCCTGAGTCTCTGGAGAAGGGCGGCATATAAATCAAATTAAACAAAGAAAAATAGATATTGGGAGAATATCTAATGCTTTCTAGGTAGATTTTTAAACTGTGATGCTATCAGACGCATATAAACATATAATTCAGTTAAGGGCTTCCCTGGATAAATTTTGAAAAGGAGTGTTTTCCTTCTTAGCTGGGTAACTTCTTGATTATTCAACATGGTTTATTAGAGTGTTTTCATTTCTTCATATATTTGAATATATATATTTTAAATTTAGAAAAATTTCCAATTCTAAATTCTAGCTAGGAATTGTGATACTCATCCTTGCACTACACAACTGTCTCTCTGCCTCTCTCCCCGCCCCAAGATTAACTTTGCTCATAAACGCATCCATGGAAAACCTGAAATATTAATTTTCTATGTGCAGAGGAATCAAATATTTTGGAGCCCAGGGCAGAAACATGTGATGAGGGGGGCCTTGGTGCTCTCTGAGCTTGCTGGTTTTCTTGTAGACATTTCATGACCCAACTAGGTAACATTATCAGTGCTAAGCAAGGAGTGGCAGTTCATTGGCAGTTTCTTGATTGTTGTTGACGTGAGTGTTGGGTTTTATGTTAACCTTGGAGCTAAACTACGCTGATCTGGGTGCCGATTGCTGGTGGGGTCGTTTTGTTCCTTTTTGGGCTCGTTGATTGTCCCCTTTGCATAGTATGTAGATCTTGTTTTTATTTATTTTTATTTATTTATTTTATCTCTGATTTATATACCGCACCTTCTCCCGAGGGACTCAGGGCGGTGTACAGCCAGATAAAAACATACAATACAAACATTAAAAACAATTAAAAGGATATATATTAATTTGGCCCCAATTTAAGATAACAAACCAATTAAAAATATTTAAAAATATGTTAAAAAATACGTTAAGCCAGCCCGGCTTGCTGAAAAAAGAAAGTTTATGTCAATAATAATAATAATAATAATAATAATAATAATAATAATAATAATAATAATAATAATAATAATAATAATAATATATTTAATCTACGTGTCTGTTGATGGCTGATTTCTCAGAATGCCAGGCTTCTAGAAATTCCCTGGCATTTTTGGCCTTGGAATCTCTAAACCCAACTCGATCATCAAAACTGACCACTAGAATATAAACTGATAGCAAACTGCACTCCTTACTAGCTAGCACTGATGATGTTACCTACTTGGGTCATGAAATGTCTACAAGAAAAAACGAGCAAGTTCAGAGAGCACCAGGGACCCCACAGTCCTCCTCCTCCTCCTCCTCCTCCTCTCCACAACCCCCACTCCCTTTAACACTGATGTTGTTACCTGGTTGGGTCATGAAATGTCTACAAGAAAACCACCAAGCTTAGCGAGCACCAAGGACCCCCTGATATCAGCCCTGAGCTACACATATTCTCCTCTATTCACATGCAACGAAGGAACTCAATCCAGACACGCATCCACCCCCCCCCTTCTGACCATGGGGATGTGAAAAGTCATACATGTGAAAAATGCTCATACGTCGCTTTTTTCAGGGCCCTTGTTAACTTTGAGCAGTGACGCAAGGAACTGTGGTTAAGTCAAGGACATTACCTGCAGTGGTGGTTTCAGCCGGTTCGTGCTGGTTCGGGCCGGTTCGGGCAAATCAGTAGCTGAGATCGTGGGTGCCCCAGTGCTATGCAAGTTCTATGTAGCCATATTTTTGGGGCTGAGTGCATGTGCGGAAAGGCAAAAGGTAAAAAATCTGTGAAACTCCCTCCTCTGATTACCTGTAATCTCGGGAGAATTTTTATTTGCCAGTTTTTTTAGTTTATGGGATCCTGGGAAATCATTTTGGCTCTTTATTGTTGAATTTCACATGGACTAGAAATCTTGCCCTCAAGAGGTCTCTTCCTTCCTTCCTTTTTTCTTCTGTTCTTTGGTGTTTCTACTGAGTCACGAGGCAGTGATGACATCTAGGAAAAGGCCCCGAAGATTAAGTAAAGCCGCAACTCCTATTTTAATACCCAGTTCTGAGTAGAATGTTCTCCTTTCCTTCCCTTATCTTCTTCCAAGGAATGTACTGGCAAAAACTGAGTCTGCAAAAACTTCGAGGAAGGGAGGAAGGGAAAATAATGTTTATTTTTACCCGAAAGGAAGGCTCTATGACGGAGGCTACGAACGGCTCGGCAGCTAGAAAAATGACGGAGGGCAGATCGTTCCTTTAAAAAAAAGAAGAAGAAGAAGAAAAAAAGAAAAGAAATGGAATTTATTAAATATACGTTTTCTTGCAGGAGTTTCATGACCCAAACGAGGTAACGTCATCGGGGCAAGTTCCCCAGTGGAGAGGCACAGCTCAGGTTACACAAATATCTGCACACCGTAAACGGGTCAGAAGGAACGGGTGGAATAGACCATCACATCGCTAGCCCTGATGAGGTTAGCTAGTTTGGTAATGAAACGCCTGCAAGAAAACAACCAAGCTCCTCCTCTTCCTCTTCCTCTTCCTCTTCCTCTTCCTCTTCCTCCTCCTCCTCCTCCTCCTCCTCCTCCTGAAGTTGCCTAGTTGGGTAATGAAACGTCTCCCAAAAACAACCAAGCTCAGAAAGCACCAAGGACCCCACAGTCTTCCTCCTCTCCCTTCTAACACTGATCTTGTTATCTAGTTTGGTAATGAAACGTCTGCACGAAAACAAGCAAGCTCAGAGAGCCCCAAGAGACTCTTCTTTGCATGTTTCTGCCCTGGGCTCCAAAATATTTTATTCCTCTGGAAGTTGCGGATACTCCCACGGCTGGACTGCACAAACGCTTCCCCGGGGGATGGTATAAAGTCTCTCTTGCTCTCCTTGAGCAAGGGGTTGGACTAGAAGACCTCCGAGGTCCCTTGCAGTCCTATTATTCTGAGATAGATAAGAGCCTTGGTGGCGGAGCAGACTAAAGTGCTGTTAAGTAGCACCAGCTGCCTGCAATTACTGCAAGTTCGAATCTCACCAGGCTCAAGGTTGACTCAGCCTTCCATCCTTCTGAGGTAGGGAAAATGAGGACCCGGATTGTGGGGGCAATAAGCTGACTTTGTATAAAAAATAACACCACTTAGGGGGGGCCCAAAAAGCCCTACTAAGCAGGTATATACAAAAGTATGAAGGCTATTGCTTAACGCATTGTAAGCCGCCCTGAGTCTCCGGAGAAGGGTGGCATATAAATCAAATCAATAAATAAACAATAAATAAATAGTTGCGAGGCTATTCAAAACACAGTCGTGCTGAAGGGCTTTTCTCCCCAAACGCAGATGAAAATTCAAGATTCTTTTGGCAGCAGGGAAAAGAAATTCAGAAGAATTCAGAAGAGGAAAATGTGAAAATATTCAAAAGGTAATTTCCAGGGGTTGGGGTTGAGGGTGGGGAATTATTTCCAGAATCTCCAATGACTCATCAAACTTGAAAATACGTGTAAATGTTTGCCTGTAATTACTGTTTTTGGTCAGGCACCCTTAATATTCATATATAAACTGCATAAAGACATTTTTCATGTGAACTTCCATTATCCAGAGACGGTCAAAAGGACCAGAATTGAATTTGGGGCTTGGAAACTACAAAGAGAGAAACAGAAGTCGATAGATTATCTAATCTTCATCTGCACTCAGGCATTTGCTAATTTGCAATTCCCCCTTGCAAACACGGAGGATCATAATTCTGTGAAGTTAAAAAACAGGCGGGGGTGAGGCAACTTTTTAAATCTGCCTGCATCCAGGATAACAAAGCCCATCTGCTATGTTCACCTAGCATCAGGGGTGAAATGCTCCCGGTTCAGACCGGATCGCCCGATACGGTAGTGATGGAGGCGGGTGGTTCGGAGAACCGGTAGCAAAAATCCCTGCCGTCCCCCCCCCCCCATTGCCCAGCTGAGCCGCGCAATCATCAGAGGCTTTTTTTAATTTTTAAAAGCATTTTTTCTACCTCTTTGGCCAAAAAAAATGCTTTTAAAAGTAAAAAAAAAAAGCCTCTGATGATCGCGCAGCTCAGCTGGTATCATCAGAGGCTTTTAAAAGCATTTTTTCTACAACATCTTCGGCCGAAGAGGTTATAGAAAGCATGTTTTTAAAGGGAAAAAAAGCCTCTGCCGATCAGGCAAGTCAGCTGGTATCGTCAGAGGCTTTTAAAAGCATTTTTTCTACAACCTCTTCGGCCGACAATCAGAACAAAACCACATTTGGCCACACTTGGAATATTGCATTCAGTTTTGGTCGCCACGATGTCAAAAAGATGTGGAGACTCTAGAAAGAGTGCAGAGATTAGCGATAAAGAGGATTAAGGGACGAGGCTAAAACATAGGAAGAACGGTTGCAGGAACTGGGTGTGTCTAGTTTAATGAAAAGAAGGAGTAGGGGAGACATGATAGCAGTCTTCCAATATCTCAGGGGCTGCCCCAAAGAAGAGGCAGTCAAGCTATTCTCCAAAGCACCTGAAGGCAGGACAAGAAGCAACGGGTGGAAACTGATCAAGGAGAAAAGCAACTTAGAACTAAGGAGAAAATTCCTGACAGTGAGAACAATTAACCAGTGGAACAACTTGCCTCCAGAAGCTGTGAATGCCCCAACACTGGAAATTTTTAAGAAGAAGTTGGATAACCATTTGTCTGAAGTGGTGTAGGGTTTCCTGCCTGGGCAGGGGGTTGGACTAGAAGACCTCCAAGGTCCCTTCCAACTCTGTTATTCTATTTCTATTTCTACCCGTCCTTCTCCAATGCATCCGGCAAACGCTTCCTGTCCGTCACTCTCTCCATATTTCATGATCCATATTTCAAAGGCGGAAGTCTTTTGGATTCCTTGATGTCAACGGCAGTTGCAATTGTGTCATCGTCAAGACTGAAGACCCTGGTCGCCCACAGAAGGAGAAGTTTCCAGGCTCGGGCAACTTGCTCTTGTGACCCGCGTTGACCTCAGGGAACTTGCATGCCAAGCTTGGCAGAGTTGCGTTTCCCTTCGCGCCCTGCCTTGTGAGTGCTTCTTCTTTTTTCAAGCAAGTGTGTCTGCAAGTGTGGGTTTTGGTGTGTGTGTGTGGGCGAGGACCACGCCCAACCCGAAGAGATGACTGAAACCAAGGTTCCCCCTTCAGTCAGTCAACTGCAGAAGAATGGTGGAGAAGTCTTTAGCGGTTGCTGTTCATTTTGGTAGGTGATGACTTCACATTTCCTTCTCTCTCTCTCTCTCTCTCTGTGTGAGACAACCCTTCGGCAGGACCGATCCTTTCTTCTTCTCTTTCTTCTTCTCTTTCTTCTGCTCTTTCTTCTTCTCTTTCTTCTTCTTTTTCTTCTGCTCTTTCTTCTGCTCTTTCTTCTTCTCTTTCTTCGATGTTCTGCCGTATGGATGAGCGTTCAGCAAAAATGAGCTTCCTGAAGAACCAACAAACCGTAGCTAGAGAGGGAGAGACCCATTTTTCTCCTTCAAACTGGCCTCTTGGGTGGCTGGAGGTTAGATGTGGTGTCCCACCTAGAAAGTCTGGACTACAGCAATGAGAAGAACCTCAGGATGACCTGAAGACCTCCAAGATCCCTTCCCACCCATCGTCTATGATGCGATGACTCATCCCAGGCAGGAAGTTTTATGATTTTAGTGCTGTCGTTCATTCAGTTGCATTCATTTCTTTCTTCTTTAATTTTTTTTTAAAAAAATAATTTTTATTGAGCATTTTACATTTTAAAACCAAACACACAATAGCAAAAAAAACCCCAAAACACCCACCCACACATCAGACGTTAAAATGCAATACTAACAACTGATATATACAATTTTGCAACTTTCTGCCTCGACTTTTGTCTTTCCTCTTAGCTTTTATCCTCCCGCTCCTTCTCTTTATTTTTAAATATTCATAATTAACTGTTTTGCTAGCAGGGTCGTTATTTATATTTATATCCAGTATGTTAATATCTAATTTCGCTTTGTATTCTTATTTCTTAATTTGATTTCTGTTTTCCAACCATGTATAAAACCTATTCCACACTGTATAATAATCTGAGTTTTCTCTTTCTTTGATCTCCATCGTTAATTTATCCATTTCGGCGCATTCGAGGATTTTCTTTATTATTGTTTCTTCCGATGGTGTATTGGTCGACTTCCACATTTGCGCTAGAGTAAATTCTGGCCGCCGTTAGAATATGCAATATAATATAATAGAGACCTTTTCTTCCATTTTTCTATCAATCATTCCTAAATCTCTGGTTTAAAATCTATCTTTTGGAGTGTAATCTCTTCCAACCACTCTTTAATTTTATACCTAAATTTCCTCACCTTGCATTCATTTCATGCTGGTTGGGTTCCATTTGATTTCTACCCTTGGCTCCTCGCCAAGGTCCTGCCCACTGTGGGGAGTGTCCCACCCCACCCCACCTCACCGGTAACTTAGAAGAAGTTGAAACTGAAAATGTCACAAAAGGAATGGGTGTTATTATTATTATTTTTTGCATATGCAAAACAGGTGCTTCGCTCTTAGCTATGATCTCAAATTGGGAGTTTATTTGCATTTGTCGTCCCATCAAATCTGTGCGTATAGAGGAGAAGAATCAAAGGGCTTTCTGAGTTTTGTTGTTTTTTTGGAGATGTTTCATTACCCAACTAGGGAACATCATCAGTGCTAGAAGGGGGAGGAGGGAGGAGGAGGAGGGGGAGGGAAGGAGGGGGAAGAGGAGGAGGGGGAAGAGGAGGAGGAGGAGGAGGAAAATGACTTTGGGGTCCTTGATGCTTTCTGAGCTTGGATGTTTCCTTGCAAACGTTTCATTACCCAACTAGGTAACATTATCCGTGCTAGAAGGGAGTGGGGTTTGCAGAGAGGAGGAGGAGGATTAGGATGAGGGGGAGGGGAGGAAGGGGAGGGGGAGGGGGAGGAGGAGAAGGAGGAAAAGGACTTTGGGGTCCTTGATGCTCCCTGAGTTTGGATGTTTTCTTGCAGACATTTTATTAACCTACTAGGTAACATCATCAATGCTAGAAGGGAGTGGGGTTTGTGGAGAGGTGGAGGACGAGGACGAGGAGGTGGAGGATGAGGACAGGGAGGAGAGGACTGTGGGGTCCTTAGTGCTCCCTGAGCTCGCTTGTTTTCTTGGAGACGTTTCATTACCAAACTAAATGACATCATCAGTGCTAGCCAGCACTGTGCTAGTCAGAGGAGGAGAACTCAACACCATCTACGCACGCTGACAGTATAACTCATTGCAACTTCAGGGCTAAATATGAATTTTAAATATTTCAAATCGTGTTAACACCTCTTCCTTCCTCCCATCACTCTGGAGTCAAGCAATCCCAGGCGAACGTTCGAGCCCCAAAAAACCCTCAGACTCAGCAAAAAAGGCAGCATGGATATTGCTGTAATTTCCAAAGATGTGAATTTTCAGGCAGTTTTTGCAACGCCGAAACAAAATTTTGCATAAATCCATGGCTGCCTGCGAATCGTGTCCGATTGCGCTAAATTCTCGGCGGTGGCTCGCAACTGATTGTCTTCTCCTTATCTACCTCCCTGTCCAGCGTTGGCGTCCGCTTTTTGGCTTTTGCGTCCAAGCGTGGTGGATTCCACCCCCAGCATCTGCCCCAGGTGTCCAGCAGATCCAGAATTTCTGCAGAAAATTCGGCTACAGATCATGTGGTTGAAACGACCGACTCGAGATTTATACAAATCCTACGTGAGTAATTTGGCTTTTTAAAAAAAAATCGGATTGCCCTATTATCTGGCTGGCGGTTTCCTTTTGAAAAGCTTTGCACCTTGCCGTTTTCTGCTTTGCGGCTAGTCCTTGACTTATGGCCATTCCTTTTGTGGCAACAGCCCCGATCAAAGTGACTTTTTCACACATTTTACGACCGTTGGCAGCATCCCCCGTGGAGACGCGATCAAAATTCGGACACTCGGCAACAGTTATGATAGTTATGACGGTTGATCGTTATGACGACCGGGCGTAAGACAAGGACGGCCTGTGTTTGTTGTGGCTCCAGGTGATCCAATTAGGCAACTTTTATATCACTTAAGGTAAAGGTAAAGGTTCCCCCTTTCCTCCTCCTCCTCCTCCTCCTCCTCTTTTTCCCCCAGAATTTAGAATAACAAAGTTGGAAGATCTACGGATTAAAAGAGTTGGAAGGTCTTCTTCAAACTTCTGCTTGGAGGTCTTCTAGTCCAACTTCCTGCTCAGACAGGAAACTCTATACAGTACAATTATTCCTCCTCCTCTTCTTCTTCTCTCCCCTCGTCCTCCTCCTCCTCCTCTTCCTCCTCCTCTTCCTCCTCTTCTTCTTCTTCCTCCTCCTCCTCTTCTTCCTCTTCCTCCTCTTTTTCTTCTTCTTCTCCTCCTCCTCCTTCCTCATACTCATTTATGTCTGCAAGAAAACAAGCAAGCTCAGAGAACACCAAGGACCCCCACAGTCCTCTTCTCCCCTCCTCTTCCTCCTCCTCCTCTTCTTCTTCCTCTTCCTCCTCTTTTTCTTCTTCTCCCCTCCTCCTCCTTCTTCTCCTCCTCCTCCTCTCCTTCTCCTTCTCCTTCTCCTTTCCTCTCCTTCTCCTTCTCCTTCTCCTTCTTCTTCTCCTCCTCCTCCTCTCCTTCTCCTTCTCCTTCTCCTTCTCCATCTCCTTCTCCTCCTCATCTCCTTCTCCTTCTCCTTCTCCTTCTCCTTCTCCTCCTCCTCTCCTTCTCCTTCTCCTTCTCCTTCTCCTTCTCCTTCATCTCCTTCATCTTCCCCTCCTCCTCCTCCTCCCTCATACTCATTTATCTTACTCTTCCATCCATACCTACTATACTTTATTTTATTACGTTTTGCTTTGGCTCTCTGTTCAGCGATGTCATCTATCTATTTATGACTTTTTGCCCCTTCTGCTTTTGCACCCAGCTGACTCGTATGGACCTGCAGGATGATCTGCGCAAGTTTTGCGAGATGCCCGTCGCTTGGCTGCCCGGTAGAAATATCACAAAGGAACCGGAGAGGCTCCTGTTGCAAGAACTCTACGCGGCTGTGGTCCGTATGAAGGGGGCTCTGAAGGCCTTGGAAAACCAGCTCGTGGATGAAGAGAAGCCGTTGCCCCACCAGCTGGCCACCGTTTCCCTCTGGCTCACCGGCCTCCTTTCCAACATCCAGTGTGCCCAGTGCCAGAGGGGCCTTCGGCCAGTCCCTGTCACGCCTTCGGAAAAGAGCCAAGACTCTTCGTCCTTCGCGCAAAAGATAGAAGGTTGCCAGGTCCTTTGGAATCTCTCCAGGTTCATCAAGGGGTTAGCTAAGGTTTTCCAAAAGCAGAGCGTGAAAAGCAAAAGACCGGAGAGGCAGAAAAAGAAGAAGGGGAAAACGAATGATTCCTCGGTAGTGATCCTGTAGATCTTTCTTTGGGATCCGTTTGAAAGGATGAGGCGTGCACCACCTCCAGAATTTGGATCCTGTCCTCCGGAGAGTCGGGAAAAGGAAGAGGCGGAATGTTTTCAAGGCAGAAATTTGGGTCTGGAGCCCGACTGTCTGTGGAGATTCTCAATCATCCAAATCTTGTTTCAAAGGTTCTTTTTTTCCAAAGGCAACTGGACTTCGTTTTTCCTTGAGGAAAAAAAAGAAGAAGATGTTTCCCTTCTCATCCAAGAAGCTTCATCGGTTCTGGCAGGAGTTTGGGGCGGGGGTGATGGAAAGGTCGTGCTTCTTTGCAGTCATCGGGACATTAGTGCTCTCCCTGAGAGCTCTGTCTTGAGCCCACATTTCTGATCCGCTTTTCAATCCAGATTAGCAGCTTCGTCCCCTGTTCCTTGCTTACCGCCCAACAGACTCAAGGCTACGCCATTGACAAATGGAATTTGGGCTAAACAGGGAAGGAATAGAGAAGGATTGGAAATGCAGGTAGTCCTCATTTAGCAACCGTTCAAAGATACAATAGCAATGAAGAAAGAGACTTATGACTGCTCCTTGGACTTATGACTTTTGCGGCATCCCCACGCTCACAGGAGCAAAATTTTGGCCCCTTGAAACCATCATGTACTGATGGTGTTGGTTGCATCCTATGTGGTAGCATCACCATTTGCAACCTCCCCAGATGGCTTAAATGTAATTAAACATTTATTATTTATTGGTTCGATTTATATGCCGCCCTTCTCCGGAGACTCAGGGCGGCTTACAATGCGTTAAGCAATAGCCTTCATACTTTTTTGTATATACCTGCTTAGTAGGGCTTTCGGCCTCCCCTAAGCGGTGTTCTTTTTATACAAAGTCAACTTATTGCCCCCACAATCCGGGTCCTCATTTTACCTACCTCGGAAGGATGGAAGGCTGAGTCAATCTCTCTCTTAACTAAGTTAGAGAGAGATCCAAGCTAGAATTAAGGAGAAATTTCCTGACTGAGAAAAAGATGAATCAATGGAACTTCTGGCTTTGCCTCCAGAAGTTGCAGGTGCTTCACATCACTGGAGGCCTCCAAGAAAAATTGGACGCTGTTTCTCTGGAATGGTATAGGTTCTCCTGCCTTGAGCAGGTGGTTGGACTAGAGGACCTCTAAGGTCCCTTCCCACTGGGATTCTACGATCTATGTTTCGTTCTCATAGCAATTGAAAAGCTATGAAAGTTGGATTCAGGACTCAGCACTTTAACCGCTAACATTTAGGGAACCCTGGACAAAGCAAACTCCGCCCCCCGTGACGTCACTGTACAAGCCCCTCCTTCATAATCCTTACCTCCAGAGGGAGGGGCCACAAGGGACTTATATTGAAAGCACATCTTCTTCCTTGCTTGCCAGCAAAAAAATAGACCAGCTTATCCAGCTGGTTTATTTTGTTACTGGGAATCGCCTGATTTTTTGCCCCCAAGAAGAATTAGTGCAGTTTTTTAATTCATTTTTTAATTAAAAAGGAAAAAAAATATATCTAGGACTCAAGTCATGTCCGTTGATTTCCAAGGTTATCCCAGGGTGGCCGAAAAATAGTTTTCAGTAAGGAACCTGAGCGTTTTTCCCCAGTGATTCAGTAACGAATGATCCTGCCTGACTAAACCACTCGATGCTACAGAACTCACAATGATCCACAGCTGGATTGTACACATGTGAGTTTTTTCACCATTTGCAAAGACATTTGCAAAGACAACTCTGTTCCTGTTACAACTCTCACGTCTAAGGATAAATCCCCTCTTTGGAGACGCTCAGAGAAACCTGGAAAAATTAAGGGGAGGCATCCTTCCTGTTCCGCAGTCCACAAATTGGGTGGGTCATTTCGAAAGTCCATTCGTACCCAGCTGTTTTCTGAGACGTGTAAATAATATGATTTCATTATTTATTGAACTTTATAGATCCTCGTGCCTAAAAGCCTATTTAAAATGTTGCAATTGGTATTTATATGAAGGATGTTTGTGTTTTGTTGGGGTCTGTGTGTGTGTGCGTGTGGGTGGGTGGGTGGGTGGGGGTTTTGTTTAATCTTTTGTTATCCTGGGCTGCTTTAGCTCTGAGATATTTTATCTGGCATATTTATGACTTTGGCAGAACAAACTGGTTGCATGAAAATATTATGCTCATTAGAACTGGGTCTTCCTGGCTGGGAAGACCATCCTTTTTATGCAAAATATAAAAAATAAAATAATAAAAAAAAGAAGTTGCATCCTGTTCCTGATTAACTAATGCAATGATTGTCCTTTGGATATTTTCATAAATATGTTTAAAAAAAAAAGCTTTGTATGATATGTGTTTAATTTTCTCATCAGCTCTTTAGTGCTTTTGTTTGCCCAAATGGAGAGATAAATTATCCTTTTTCTGAAACAGGATGGATGGATGGAAGGAAAGAGAAAAATAGGGAGGGAAGAGAAACAGAGAGAGAGAGGAAGGAAGGAAGGAAGGGAGGGAGGGAGAGAGAGAAAATTGTGGTTTTATTCTTTTTACCATTTGAATTTTTGCATTTTCATATCGGTTTTATATATATTTGATACAGTCAATTGAGTTAAGTAATAGTCTTCTTCTTCCTCTTCCTCCTCTTCCTCCTCCTCTTCTTCTTCCTCCTCTTCCTATTCCTCTCCTCCTCCTCCTCTTCTTCTTCTCCTCCTCCTTCCATCTTCCTTCCTTCCTCCTCCTTCTCTTCTCCACCTCCTCCTCCTCTTTCTCCTCCTCCTCTTCTTCTTCCTCCTCTTCCTCTTCCTCTCCTCCTCCTCCTCCTCTTCTTCTTCTCCTCCTCCTTTCATCTTCCTTCCTTCCTCCTCCTCCTTCCCCTTCTCCCTTCTCCTCCTTCCATCTTCCTTCCTTCCTCCTCCTCCTCCTTCTCCTCCTCCTCCTCCTCCTCCTCCTCCTCCTCCTCCTCCTCCTCTTCTTCTTCTCCTCCTCCTCTTTCTCCTCCTTCTCCTCCTCCTCCTTCTTCCTCATACTATTTGATCTTACTCTTCTATCTTTACCCACGGTACTTTATTCCATTTTATCCCACAATAGCTATTTTATCTTACCTCACTGTATCTTATCTTATCTCATTTTATTGTCTTTGACTGTGGCTGATGCTAATGTCTGAGGTGGCCAATTGACCAATCGATAAGGCCTACCCATCGTCCCATGCGTGTTAGTCCCACGGGAATGCACCCCGCAAGCCATGTGGCACTTCCAGCTGTGGAAGAATTAAAATTTCAAGCTCAAAAGATTCTGGGACTGCCCCAGCAGCCCTTGGAATGTGGGTGGGTCTGCAGGGGAGAGGGAAGAGTTGCAGATTAGAGTTTATCATCAAAGAACCGGAAGTGGGGAACAAGGAGAAATGTAGAAACTTTCCCCCTTTGATATGGGGAAGGAAGGATAATACAGTTATTCCCTATAATCCTTCAGGCAAACACACTATTATAAGCGGAGTCTGGTGGAAATGAAAAGGGGTGTTATGGGAGGACAGTGGTGTTTGGGGTACGTAGTATGTGCCAAAAAAAAGTCAAAATGGTGGCCACAGTAAAGTGGTTAAGGTGCTGGCTAGAAACCAGGAGACGGTGAGAGTTCTAGTTTTGCCTTAGAGGCTTAGACGGAAGGCAGCTGGGTGACTTTGGGCCATTCAAAGGGAGACAGTGAGTTCTAGTTCCACCTTAGCTGTGAAAGCAGCTGGGTGACTTTGGGCCATTCACTGGGAGACAGTGAGTTCTAGTTCCACCTTCGCCATGAAAGCTGGCTGTGTGATTTTTGGACCAATAGTCCCGCCTTAGGCACGAAAGCTGGCTGGGTGACTTTGGATCTCCCTCCCTCCCTCTCTCTGTCTCTCTCCCCCCCCGCCCTCCCCTCCCTCTCTCTTTTTTTTTTTTATTTTTTTACTCTTTCTCTTATCCTACCTCCGAGGGGGGTTTTTGTAAAAAAAAAAAAAAAAAAAAAAAAAGGAGGAGGAAGGAGTATTGTGTATTTTTATTTATTTATTTATTTTATTTATTTATTTTGTCGAGTACATATTAGATAATATATATAAGTATCAGTATGAATTGAATACATAAAATGAGTACAATTAAAGGGAACATTAGGACAGGGACGGTGGGCACGCTGGTGCTCTTATGTACTCTCCTTATATGTATATTATATTATATTATATTATATTATATTATATTATATTATATTATATTATATTATATTATATTATATTATATTATATTATATTATATTATATTATATTTATTATATTATATTATATTATTATATTATATTATATTTATTTTATTTTATTTTATTTTATTAGAGTTATATACCGCCCTACTCCCGAAGGACTCAGGGCGGTTAACAGCCAAGAGGTAAAACACACAGATTACAAAATTTAAAACAGTATAAAAACCTAATTAAATAAATTTGGCCCGGAACGGATTAAAACACCCCTAAAGTTTTAGACAAATTTAAAATTTACAATTAAAAAGGGAGGTTAGGCCAGGCCAGCCTGTTGGAATATTATATTATATTATATGTATGTTCGCTGGCTTGAGTTATATATAAGTATTGAGGCAGGATAAAAATGGAAATGGTTGCAGGAACTGGGTAGGTCGAGCCTAAGGCACAGAGGAACTATGGATGATATGACAGCGGTCTTCCAATATTTGAGGGGCTTCTACAAAGACGAGGGAGGGTCAAACTATTTTCCCAAGCACCAAAAGGCAAGAGAAGAAACAATGAATGGAAACTAATCAAGGAGAGACGCAACCTGGAACTAAGGAGAAACTTCCTAAGAGTGAGGACAATTGACCAGTGGAACAGCTGGCCACCAGAAGTTGTGGGTGCTTCACCACTGGAGGCTTTTAAGAAGAGATTGGACAGCCACTTCTGGAATAGCCACTTCCTGCCGGAAAAGGTGGGAGCTCTCCAAGCTCCCTTCCAATTTTGTATTATTAAAAAAAATGTCTAATAAATAAACAAAAAGGAAAGGAGACTTTGATGATTGATGGTTGTCATTGTTCAGTGTTCCAATAGCTCAGGGGCTGCCCCAAAGAAGAGGGAGTCAAGCTATTCTCCAAACCACCTGAAGGCAGGAGAAGAAGCGACGGATGGAAACTCATCAAGGAGAGAAGCAACCTAGAACTAAGGAGGAATTTCCTGACAGTGAGAACAATTAACCAGTGGAACTCCTTGCCTCCAGAAGTTGTGAATGCTCCAACACTGGAAGTTTTTAAGAAGAAGTTGGAAAACCATTTGTCTGAAGTGGTGGAGGGTTTCCTGCCTTGGCAGGGGGTTGGACTAGAAGACCTCCAAGGTCCCTTCCGTTATTCTATTCTATTGTCAAATTTTTGATGCCCCCCTTCCCAGATGTACTTATGGGAAGAATGATGTTAATTGAATGGAGATGCGAGGCATTCCTCTTGAGTAGATCACAATACGCACGTCTAAAAAAAACACACACACCCAACAAAGGCTTTAAACTTTCAAGATAGCCAAGAGGTTTCAGCTTGACTAATGAAAGTATTTGGCCAAAGGGAGAACATCCGAGCAAAGGGAATGAAGGAAGAAAGCATGCAAATGCAGCTATGCATACTTTTGAGATAATCTCTCCGCAATAAAAAAATAAAATAAAGATATTTTCCTCTATCCTCCCCCTGGCTCTGCCTCGATTTCACCTTTCTCCACCTTCCCTGGGATGTCCAGAGGCGTTGAGAGACATTTGGTATGATTTCCCCCGCGTTTCACAACGGTCTTTGCTGGAATATCTCTCGTCGCGATTTCCAAACCTCATCCGTTTCTTGCAGCTAAGGAAGGAAGGTGAGAGGTGAATTTAGCAGCTCTGGACAAAAGCGAAGGAAATGAATAGCTCGGCCTTGGGGGGGATCTGATCCAGGCACTGGCCATGCGTGTGGAGACATCGTCGGGGTGCAGGTAGGATGGAGTAGCATTCTCCGACAGCTCCAAGCAGCTTCCAAAGATTGCAGGAGCTTCTGAGGAGAATTGCAACTCCTTGTTGGAATCAGGCGTAGCGTGCTTAACAGGGTTAGTTCCTGGCTGAAAAATATATATATATATCCTTCGTTCTTATTCTTCTAGGACTTTGCATCTTTGGGATGTAAGAATGTTACTTCCAGTATTTTGTTCAGAGGAGAAAAATGGGGGTGAGCTTGAAGCACATGTATTTATAAACTTTGTGGGTGTGTAAATGCATACGTGTGAGTATTGTGATTTTCATTGGATAACCCTTGGTCCAGTGGTCTGCTAGGAACGGTGTTTCTTAAACCTTCCTCTGTGAGGTTGCCTTCTTTTAAAAAATTCTGGAGGACTCCGAAAACTGATGTGATTGTTGTGGTCCGCCAGCAGCCTGCGGAGCTGTCAGCAGTGTCAGATAGTGAGGAGGCTGAGGAGGACCATGGGCCAGTCCTGGAGTCTGGGGAGGGCGTGGACAAGGGTTCTGCGTCGGAGGCAGAGAAAGGGCCATCTGGGAGGTATGTGCTGCCTCTGGAGCCTCCGGAGTTGGACATCAGCGAGGCAGAGGAACAGGGGGAGCCTGTTCCCAGTGCGCGCGTGCACAGAGCTGCCAGAAAGCAAGAACAGCTAAAACAAAAGGGACGACTCAGGAGTAAGGCTGGGAGATGATTGGGCCCTCCCATAAGACGTAAAAGAGGAGCAAAGGCACATGGGCCTTTGCAGGAAGCAACGTTTGTTCATTCGGTTCAGCTTAAAGCCTGAAGCTCCGTTTGATTCTGGACTCCGTGTGGCTTTGCCAATTAGGTCTTTGGCAGCGTGTCAAGGGAGATAAAGGTGGGTGATTATTAGCCTTATCCCGAAGGACTCTTTACAACTAATTGGGACTCATCTCTGAATGAACAGAATTCACAGCTGTTGCAATAAAAGCGGTTTTTGAGACTCCTCGTGTGTTTTAATGACTCAGGAAGCCGAGGTCAGAACACTGATTTTTATTTTACTGATTTTTTTTTACCCTGTTAAAAATTCCAATTTGATGCCTTCCTTGCCGTG